TAGGGGTCCATGAAGACCTCCATGGACAAACTGTTAATTGTTAAAAATATTCATTAGTACTACGGCAGCACAATGGGGGATGTAAAAATAAAATGAAACTCCTTTTGTTGTGGTTAAGCTTACTGATCCCACAAATTAATGTTTCAATCCTGGAAAATGATGGCGTTATGTGTGAAGTACATTTGACAACCCAAAATGGAATTATAGTCAGGCCCCAGTTTGGTGTATCTGGACCCAAGAGAAACATGGACATTGGACACGCACAATTTACCAACCCGCGGAATGTCCAAAGGTGGAATACATACATGTATATTGTACATGTACGTGTACATGTACGAGACAACGATGCCCACAAATATGCACATGTGGTACAGTCACCACAATAGGCGTTGTGTCATGGCATACATACATGAATGGTGTACATGTAAATGGGACACCACTACCCACTTACATGTACATGTATATAACGTGGAATAGCCCGGGCCAGTTTGGAAGTATTTCTTCTCCTTTAACGTTGGTGTTCATGAAAGCTCTTCTTCATCTTTGTTCACAGGCTTTCTTTAGTTTCCCAAAGATTGTGGGCGTGGTGCCTGGCTTCAGCAATCATTTAAATCTAATCCTTAGCGAGTTGTACATGTTCAGAAGAAAACACTGTGGCTTGAACTGTGCGCTGCACAGGTTGGAGCTCGCTGCCGGTCCTGACCATTTGGCCCTGGTCAGACGGCCATCTCCAAATTCGCCTAAATTTCACTTTGGTTGGAAAGTTGCACAGGCTTGTCCCATCTTTATAGGTGTGGCTGCAGGCTGTCGCAACACATCTGATCTGCATGATCTCTACAATATCCAAAACTTGGGACTAACTTTTGTGAACCCGCCCAAGATGAGCATTGACGCACTAGCAGCGCGCGATGATGTCTCCTTAAATGTACATCAAAGATATTATTTTTTGTGTTAATGAGAGACCTCTCGTGGACGGGGCCATTTCGCCAAAAAGTTCCACAAATTTTCTCTCCCATTTATTAACAAAAAGAGCAACTTTTACATTCTGGAAATCATTTAAATATGAACAGTTTTCAATTTTAACCAATAAAAACCACTTTTCACTGGCCCTTTAACGCAAGATGCAGTGCGTAACATGTAAATGTACATTTTCTTATCAACAGCATTTTACATAAGGTCCTTTCAGTGTTATGTCTCCCAGGAGAGCTCACAGTAATTTGTAGATTTATGTTGGGATGATTCAACTCTTTCCTTGCAATGCCAGACATAATTTCCTACATGAACATGCATCTATGCAATGTCCAGGTACCAATACACGCAGGCCATGTACATGTATATGTATTTTTACAACCTTGAGGACACATACATGTACAGGTAAGGGCAACCTCCAGCTTTGTCTCAGATGCCAAGCCTCCCTCGGGTGTACCTGTATAAAACACCATGTTTAATGCCAAAGAACACAGTCTTTTTATAGAATGTTAACTGTTATTCTGTTGTTAATGTGGTGTAATGTATGTATATGTACATGCATGTACATGTGCAGCAGTCTGGCGCCCTTTGTACCACGGACTTACTGTACATAAATACTGTAATGGGTTTCACATCAATGGGAGTCAAAGATCAATAGACATGATAGAAGTGATAGAGGTGGCAGAATGTATATGTACATGTACATGTAAGTAAACGACTTTTGGGGACAACAATAAAGTAAGGATGCACGAGGACTAAAAAGACAAACAAAAGGCAAATGCAAAAAAACGATCGCTTGTCAGTAAAGGCATGGAGGCAGGACAGGGGAAGTACTGATTATCTTCCAGATATGCAGTGTCACTGGTACCCTGCAAGGTTGGATTGTGTACTGTGCAATGAAAGGCCTGGGACCAATCAGGTTCTTCTCGGGTCCACGACACCTGCAGATGATGAAGTGCAAACACCGAGTCCAGCCAACCACCAACACTCCCCTTTCTGTCCATGCACAACATCAGCAAAATCAAGGATGTGTGTTATTTGTGTTTGTGCAGTTGTTAAGCCAAGTGCCCTCTGAAGAGACTGTCTCTGGAAATTGAAAGTTTTACATTTCAACATGAAATGTTCAACATCACCACTAGTGCCACATTTCAGAAAGATTTTCAGGGTGCTGGCCACTGCTACGGTGGAAACTTTAAATGGGTAGCTGCAATGCGCTTTTAAAATTGTAAACCCCCAAAATGACCTTTACATCTCAGTTAACCTCATTTTCAATTTGTTTCACTATTTTAAAGGGTATTTTGCTGCCATTTTGGTTTTTATGCTAATGAATATTTCCATATTAATGAGCAATACTGTGATGTATTCCAAGAAAGAGAATTTAATGTTACATTTAACAACTGTTGCCAGCAGCGTAGGGGTCCATGGTGTTTTGTACACCCGAGGGGGCAAATGGCACTCAAGGCGAAGCCGAGGGTGTCATTTGCCTTTGCGGGTGTACAAAAACCCTGAACCTCATCACCGCAAGCAACAATTGTTTTGTTATACTAAGGTCATAGATTTAACTGGCAGGATGTTATGCCAGCTAAATTAAAATACTTTGACAAAATGAAATAAGTGAACAGTAAAAAAGGTATTAAATTTCAAAGAAAAATGATTGATTGTGATGTCCTTTGTTTACCTCTTGTTTTTTTGCAGGGGGGAAATCTAGGATTAATAACAAACTTGTTGAACAGAGAAACCTGGAATTCATAAAGCACTGGGGGCTTTGTCGACTGGTTGAATATCAAGAAATTATTTACACCAGTTGACAAGATTGAAGAGCGGACAAAAAGACAATGGCATGTTTTACATAAACAGCAATGGCGATTCGGGTTGCAGAAACAGGGATCATAGCATACTCATGTTACACGAGCAAATCACTGGGAGCACGAACAAAAGTCTAATAACCCGGGGGGGGGGACCCCGTCATGGTAAGAGTGCACATGGGAATAGACACCATGCTTCATATCCCCCACACAGAGCACATCTCCTACAATAATTCATGCCTTTTAGTACCACCGCAGCTATCCATCCTCCTACCCAAGATCACACAATTACAATGCAGTAAACACGAAACACCAACTGGGAAAGATCGCCGTTATCATTTTTTGTGGTCTGACAACATCGCCAGTGCGCGAGACCTGTGAATGTTACATGCACGCTTGTAGCACATCACGTGATCAGTTTGCCACCAATAAAAATTCACTATGACCTTGGTATGACAATGATTTTTGCACACAAAAATGACTTCATGTTTCATTTCTTAGGTGATTCATTGTTATGTACATATAAGTATGTACATGCTATTTTGTCTTTTCACATTCTTGAACTTTTCAGTTGGACAACAAGCTTGAAGAAATCTATAAAATGGGCCAGCAAAAAGCAGATGACAGAAGGTAAGTACCTTATTTATATTCATGTATTTTATGAATGTTATCCTCCAATCAAATGCCAAAAATCTACTTAGATGTTATATAAAACAAATAATGAATGTTTTTCATTCGTGCAATGAAAGAATATTTGCATGAGTTGAAAGATGAGATGTTCCATTCAACGAGCCTACCATTGCACACATAAACATTCATTATTTGTATAGATACATGTACTTGTAGCTATACAGATTTAACTGTAATTAAGTCAGCCATAAATGTTATGAAAATGGCAACTGTGTCAAAATACGGTACCACACAAGTGTGATGGTGAAAAATACTCTCAATTAGATAATCATAATTTCAATGAGAAAAACATGAAATAGTGGTACCTGTACAAGTTTTTTTGAAAATGTGTTGAAAAAAACAAACAAAAAAAATTTCTCTCTAAATTTGATCATGTATCCAGATGTAACTGAAACGCTAGCAGCACATGTACTGTACTGGTTCATGTACATGTACTATGTGTATATACATACATGTACATGTACATGTGCACTGGAAACCAGACCACACAAATGAACCATTATGAGGACGGACAACAGTCCTATAAATTGATTCTGTACTGTGACTACATGTAACTGGAACTGACTACCCTAATTCTCAAGCATGCTAACACAGGGAATGTACTGCTTTTTTGTTTGTAACTATGAAAATCAAAAATATCTCTTGTAGTCTGCTTAACTACTGTTTGAACGTAACAAACAACCCCGGATTCTCTTCTTTTGTCTTCGATATGGTCCATCCACAGCCAGGAAATACTGTGGATATAGATCCATCCACTGTCAGACAACACTGGATACGGTCCGTCCACAGCCGGGCAGTACTGTGGATGTGGTTCATCCACACCAAGAACTGTGGATGCATTCCATCCACAGCTAGACAACACTGTGGATATAGTCCATCCACTGCGAAACAATACTGTTGGTATGGTCCATTCACAGTCTGGCAGTATTGTGGAAGATACATGTACAAGTAATTGCTTACAACATCTGAAGCTTAATGAACATCGACATACTGTATGCACATGCCTAGTGGCAGAAGAACTGACAATTATGTCCATGGTTGATACATGTAGCAACTGTTGAAACCATCAATGGGATGGCTACATGTACTTTCTGCCCAGTCCCAGAAAGTTTGGGGAAATTGTGGAGACAAGCCTCTGCATGACGACGTTGTAACACAATGCAGAGTTCAGAGGGTGGCTGTGAAGAAATTGATTTTTTAGGTAGACTTGGACCACGTAGCTGCAAACATGTACCGGGTCACATATGATTGCATTTGGTGAAATTAACACTTCACACAAAGGTAAAAATGGAATAAGAAAGCACAGAGAAGGAGAAATCTTCAACAATAACAAGAGTCTAGAACACGCTCCTAGAAATGGGCTAAAGGATGAAGGACGGGGGAGGGTAAAAGATTAAGCAAATAACGGTGCATAAAATGTTTACTTCAGCCCACAGCAGTGTGTACAACCAAAGCAACAAAGTGCTAAATACCCAGCTTTACACCCAAAGGGGTAATGCAGACATACATCCCTGGCACAACAGCAAGACAATTCACCTTGTGTGACGCCCTTGGATAGCTGAAATGCAGGTTGGAGGCTGGCTGGTTTACCGATTAGATGAGGCATGTACTGAAGGATGGTGGGCAAGTGCATCATGCTGAAGTTGCCATCATTGCGCCCTTGCATAAGCTGCAACCGTAAGTCTGTTGGGAGGGAAGTAAATGCCGACAGCAACAGAATTAGAGTCAAACTTGCCATTACCCGTATTTAATCTACATGTACCTACATGTACCTTGTAAGTCTACAATGTACCGTATGCCCTCTGGCAACTTTGATTGGAACCCTGTGAAATCCTCCAGAATTTCTGACGGTGCTGGAACCCCAAAGCAAATTTCTGCACTTGAGAACTTTCAAGGGGCATCAAGCCCCGTGTACATGTAAAGTTACAGTGGATGGATCTTGTCCGCATACAATGTATCTTCCTCAACCTTGCAAAATCCTTCAAATCCCTGGGTGGTTTTTTCAAAATCTGACAGGGATCAAGCAGTGACTAAATTTATCAATGACAGTCTACTGAAAGGTTTGTTTCAATTTTTCTAACCTCTAAACTACACATGTACATGTATTAATTATCAGATTCAAACAGATAAAACACTTTGCAGACAAATTAAGCCTAACCCCCTAGGGACCATTGAAATCCTGCATAACGTTGTTGACAACACATGCACATTTTGCAACGGTGTAAACCAAAATAACAAAATCAATTTCTTTGAAAATGTAAGTGTCAATAAAGTACTGGATCATAACAGAGTTTTTGCTAGGATCAAAGATGTGATTTTTGAGGACAATAGGGACAAGTGCAGAACTTGTCAAAATATTCAGTTTCCAATAATCAAACTGACAAAATCAATTTCTGTGAAAATGTAAGTGTCAGTAAAGTATTGAATTATACCAGTGTGTTTGCTAGGATCGAAGATGTGATTTTTGAGGACAATAGGGACAAGCGCAGAACTTGTCAAAATATTCAGTTTCCGATAATCAAACAGCACGGTAGTGCTGGAGAAAGATGACTACTGTAGGATCAACAATACATGTATGTTTGACGTAGTCCAGCAGATGCGCTACTGAAATGACGAATTGTGCACTTCGTCATATAAGCATGGACCTACCAATGTTAAGAGAAAACAAGTTTGTGATGTACGGTACATGTACAGCCATTAAAAATGCACGCCTTTGGGGGCTTTTTAAAATATGGGGGGTCCTCATTATGCACCCACCATGCCATACTGTGACCACTTTTCAATAACCCATTAAATCCTCACAGACATGTTTGCATGATGTACACGTCCCCATTATATATTGAGGATTGTAAATTCATATGTGGAACCACTGTAAACTCATCCTTTTAAGGATTTGGCAGCCCATGCCAAAGAAAAAAATGCTGCTGTTCCATTCATTGCATGCCAATACCAAACATAATAATGGTACATCCCGGTACATGTATATATACATGTACATGTATGTACATGTACTTTGCCTGTACACTGAAGAAAAAATACGGAAATGAAGACATGGCAAAGCCTCTGGCCTTTTGAAGGCTTGACTGCCATTAAACAAAATGGGGGTGGGAACTGTACATGTACCGGTACATCTGCACATTACCTCCTTAATAAATGCAATTGTTGAAAAATGCCTCAAATTTTGGCACAAAAGTACAAAATACAAAAACTTATTAAAGAATTCAATGTTCCCCTTCCTTTATGGCCCTCTTTTAAACTTACCATTGATACATGTACCCTTGCATGAAGTATACATGTACTGTAGTTGTACAGTACACGTACAAGTATGTGGGTAATGCCAGGCAAAAGTAAAAAAGGTGTCAATTTCCTTTACTGAGTTCACTGGTACATGTATATTAATTCATACAAAGGGCAATTTTTCCAAAATTTACTATAAATTACCAGTTCTATCATTATTCCCTCTTTTATTTTCTAATAAACTAACCTTTGTTTACACTTTCATAATAATGACCTCTGAAATGGAATCACACATTTCCATTACTGTGAGAAATTCTCTCTTTGTTCACCTATGGATAATGGTAATTCCAGAAATTAGGGGTCCACTTTTTTCCGTGTCCCTCTCACATCTGACACACCGTGTGATTTTGTAAGTTCGGAACTCATTCGCTAATTTCCAAGAGGATGAATCAATGCAAATTACCTGCCAAACAAGTAGTAACAGTTTGAAATCAATTCCAGTGATATTTCCATGTCCAATAACAAAGGTCAGATGTAACAGGGACACAAAAATGTCACACTTTTGGACCCCCAATTTCTGGAATTACCCACAATGCTTATGTACTAGTACACATACATACATGTACATGTAGTGTATGGCATTCTGCTGTGATCAATTCCTCTGACTTGTTCAAATACAATACGCATTACATACAAAAAGGTTACAAAGTTGTCCTCATTAGTACATGTACTGCTGATGCGGTTGTATCACTAGCTGTACATGTACATGTATCTACTTTAAACAAGCAAGTGGAACCAGACCTCAGCAGCTCTGTTGATACATGTATATCATGTATGCAGGTAGTAACCCTATACCGGTTCAGTGTATCTGTCAGGTCTATTCAGAAAAGGCAAGGGACACGTCAACGTGTTTGAAGAAGTACTCTGTCTTTCAAAGACTAACTGAGGTTCTCCAAGTTAAACACGATTCAGAAAACCGTATTCCTGCAGAGCAGAGGTTCCCAACAAAGCTACAGACCACTCTCATTTTGCCTACAACTTGCATGGGTGGCCAAAATTTGCAGAAATACACCACCTTTAGATTGGTTTTTCGATTTTACCTCAAATTCATTCCAAATGGACATCTGTCCCACTAAATAGGGTTGTATTTTCATTTAGTATTTAGTAGTACCGGTACTTGTAATAAGATGATGTTCTGATAGCTGCATGGGATTTCTAACACTTTATAGATTATCGTTTTACTTTTGCACCGACAGCCAGCAATCATCTTAGCAGCTTCGTGTACTTGTAGGAAAAACATGACTGTGGTGTTCAAAGTACAGACCCTATAGGACAGAACCGGCCATGTTGTTAAATCCCTCCTTTGGTTTTACAGCACAAATATGCACGAGTGCCCACAGTCACTCTTGTGCATGAATTTTCTACATGGAACCCAAGCATGCACAGGTTCAGTGTGTACACAGTAGGTTGCCAGCACAAAATGACACAGGGTGTTTTGTGCAGTCCTCTTCACTGCATTTGTTTTACTGCACAATTACGCACATGAAACAATGAGGCACAGTTGTTGGGCAGCACAGAAGTGCAATCTGATATTCCTGTGAGGGACTGTTGGTGCAGTGCACAACATGACACAGATGTGCTTCTTTGAGGTGTTTACCAAGTGACCCAAAGAGTGACTTCAGCATAGGAGGGTTTGTACAGTACATGACGAATGTGGATGCATTTCTGCCAAGAACGGACACCTATACCTAGTAGTCATTTCCCCGTACATGTACGCTACACGTATGTCTACAGGCAGCCTCACAGTCAGGAGAGCTGCACATCTGCCATGTGACTTACCGCCTTGCAACTTCATTTGAATGGCAATTTGCACATGAGTCTAAAAGGGAATGGAATATCAACGATCAAACATTTGGAGAGAGTTTCATAAGTTGCAAGGAATTGGTTTGACCTCGTACGGTTACTCTGACAAGTCTCCTTGATGTTATCACTTTCTGACAAGCACAATTTTGAGGGGTTGAGGCAAACTTTAAAAGTGGGTTGCTTAACTTACAATGTACACCTCATTTTGTGTTTGAAAATTCCCATCTGATATCATTCTTTCAAGTTGGAGTTTGTGGTAAGGATGACAGGTCATTGTTTTGACTTGTTTTGTTTGATTTTTCTCCAAGCAACATGGATGGAGTGCTCTGCCTAGTGAATTTCAGCTCGATTGCACTTTGTGCAAAAAATAATTTTGGTCTATCAAACAAATCAGTTGCTGATACAGAGATTGTAGGTCAACTCGCCCCCTGGCCGACTCGTCCCTTACCGACTCGCCCCCTTGCCAACTCGTCCCCTGACGGACTCGCCCCTTACTATCCCGCCCTTAGCCAACTCGCCCCCTGGCCGTATCACCCCCTGGCGGACTCGCCCCCTTGCTAACTCGCCCCCTGACCGACTCACCCCTTACTATCCCGCCCTTAGCCAACTCGCCCCCTGGCCGTGTCGCCCCCTAGCCGACTCGCCCCCTTGTTCACTCACCCCCGGCAAACTTGCCCTCTGACCAAGTCGCCCCCTCAGAGGAGAGTCCGTTGGTTTGGACCTTCTACATTTCCAAAGTGATAATAGGTCTGCATTATTGTAATTATTGAGAATTATTCAATAAACCTGCATTTGGTTGAGTGACTAATTGTAAAGCACGCTAAACTTATCAGTATTCATTGTCTGGCACACATCAATAATTAACAAAGTACATGCGGACTCTCCTCTGAGGGGGCGACTTGGTGAGGGAGTGAGTTTGCCAGGGGGCGAGTTAGCAAGGGGCAGCTCGGCTAGGGGATGACTCGTCTGGGGGGCAAGTTGCCAAAGGGGCGAGATGGTAAGGGGTGAGATTGTCCGGGGCAAGTTGGCAAGGGGGCAAGTCGGTAAGGGGTGAGTTGGCCGAGGGGGAGTTGACCTGATTCCGATACAGAGCGTACATGTACAGAGGGGATACATCCAATATCCACGTTCAATCCCAATTTTTGGCTGACGGGAATGTGCAGAAATATACACGTATAACATACGGCAGTCATGTAGGACACAACCCATCGAGCCCCCCTTGGAAAGCACACATGCAAACACAGCATGACAGTACTGTATTTTAAGTCACTGCAACCCTAGCTACTGTGCATGCACACCATGGACTCTGCTGAAAATCCTGAAGGAAGCATTAGCAACCTGTTGGATGGGGATCTGTGGAGCAAGACACTGAGAACATTTGATGAGCCAGCTTGGTATTTCCAAACAGGAAGGTCCTTCGGGAAGAGAGTGCGTATGCGTGCAAGTCCACATAGGGGCCGCACTGTCTAAATGACCTGCGGCACGCTTTATTCTTGGCATGCGCTGCTGGAACATTACATTGGCTCATTCTACCGGATAGCCAGTTGGAATCAGCTGGCTTTGTGTTTGGGTCCAATGACTCTGCCAAACACAGACATTTGGTTAGTGCAGAAAACATTTATTTGAGAAAGACAAGTTACCAGCCGAAGTGTCTCGCAGTGTTCATCACTTCAATATGATTGCCCAGTCCCGGGGCACTGAGCACTTTCCAAGGAATGGTGAAACAGACAATTTAGCTTTGCAAATCAATGTACATGTACATGTACCCATTTCTCCTCCCCAAAATGAATCAATCAATCAGTCCAAAAACCAGACAAACTCCAAACCGAACCAGCAACGAGTAACATACAGTACATATGTTCGCATGCTATGGTATTTTGGATGGTGCAGTATCAGTATATTTGCTGATTAAATGTTTTATGCTCACTACTCAGTGAATGCTTCACAGCTCCATTATATTGGTCCCTTAACCCTAACAGTCCTCAATCCTCAAACAGGTGAAGGATTGAGGACTGTTCAGGTTAACTACATTGTTCTGGATTTTGTACTGAACTACATGAAAATACCTGTACCTGTGGAAGTGTTGTAGTACTGACACAAACACTGCTCTTTGCTCTTTTTATCATTTTTTTCCCTCTGTATCATTCAAATCATTTAACATACTGATGAAATACAATTTCCACATGCCATTTCTGTGACTTATTGGAACTTTTTAATCTTACTTGCTAATGTGTCATGGCTGGCCTCAGACTCCATCAGCTTGCTGGAGATGTTCCGTCGTGTGACATCCTCTTTCAACTGTTGGATCTCCCTCTGGAGATGCCTGACTTCAGCTTTGCGGGTGTCACTCTGCAGCTCTGTGTTACGTAGACGGACCTGCATCTCCTGAAGCTTGGCAGTGTACTCATACATGTCATTGTCTGTCATGACAACACAAGGAGGCAACTATTCATTCAATGTACATATTTACATTGATATAGCATTGCCATTAACACTTCCTTGATCATGGCCAGTGTTCCATGGTTTCAACTCTAAATAGGCCTACATGTACATGTACATACATGTACTGAGTCCAGACTAACAAGTAGCCCTAAGGTTGATTTAGCGGCAGAACAAGAGACATTCCCATTAAATTGTAATGGGAAAGAGTTGCATTCCAGCCACCATCTTAGACCTCGTACAGATGGGGCATGACAGGAACACTCTTCAGTACATGTATCTTTAAAGAAAACTTGACATTTCTTCACTCTTAAACAAGTACGTCCTCATCGGTTTACATTTATTGGTAGTTCCAAGTCGTATTAAACATGAAAAGGGGGGACCCTTTCCCTGTATAAGGCTATATCATTTCCATGGTAACTATACCAGTATACAGCATATATGTACACGTACGTGTCCTTATTGGCAATGATTGGTCATACTGGATATTTCTTTGATTTTGACCTTGCCCTGCAAATACATGTAACAATAAACGCATCCACCACCATGACCACTGTCCACGTCAAAGTCTTCATAATAATTAGTATTTCAGCACAAAATAAGGGTACTCACCTGTGCGGTTGAACACAGCGAAAATGGAAAACGTGGCAAAAACGGAGCAGAAGACAAGCCAGAATTTTCGCGTTCTTGGGCCCATGGGTCCACCCGATCAGCGCTCTGCGGGTGCCAGAACCCTCAGCTCAAGCTTCGGCCACACGCACGGTACGATAGGCCAACCCTACATATGTGTAGGCCCTATGCTCCGGGCTCTCTAGCCGGCCGCTAAGGCTAACTCTGGGTGGCCTTTCCCGTTCCCCAAAACCAATTCACGGCGATGTTGGGCGAATCATACCATCAAAATGTAAAACGATGTTACACCATGTTTGAATGGTGCCAGAAGACGACTGTAAGACGTAATACTGAAGCAATTTTCATGGTCGCCTGCCGGCACATCCGCATCTATATCGATCGCACGCATTAGTAATAGCAGGACTGTACAATACTGTCTGTGCACAGTGCCATCGTATCATAGCATACGCCAGTCCCGTGTAGCGAACATCCATTCTTGAGGGCGCTATAACGCGTGTATGATACCTTACCGAACTTGAAGAGTTGATCTCGAGTTGATCTCTTGGCGAGTGAGCGCTAACAATTAAATGCAATCCTTATATTTTACCGATAAAAAATTTGACTCTCCGTAAAATAAAAACGATATGCACGGGTATAGAAATTACAGGAGAGTAAACCTGCAGATTTGCGGGGTAAATTTGAGAGATATTAAAGAATGGCCTCAACCTGACACCATGGAATTTCTTCGGGCTGCTAGACGATAAGGTGAAATGGAAACGTATTGTCGAAAAATGCCGTGCTGCCTCCACGGCCCTCTTGTTGAAGGACATGACGATGATGATGCTGATGATGATGATGATGATGTTGGAATCAAAGATTCCAGCTGCGATCTTCGCTCAAGACTCATTCTAGAATGTAAACCCAGTCTGCAATGTTGTTATTTTCCTCAAATGATCATCTTCCCAGCGAACAATATTGGGAGTGCTCATTTGAATTTTTTTAGCTCATGATATACGAGGCGTGTCCCCCTCTGGGAGCGGGACACTATGGCATAGGTGCACCTGGTAGGTTTTGGTCTGGTTTGTACATGTCCAGTGGAAGGTTCTGGCACCATTTCCCCCTTTGCTCTTTGGACTCCCTGGATAACACACTGCAAGAGCTGTTTATAGAGCGAGCCTGCAACATGAGTGTCTCAACTGTTGGAACCAAAATGGTGCATTGATTATGCGTCGGTACACGTGGACAATTGGTTCCCAGTAGCTGAGTGCAGTCCTGTACGCACAATGAACGGCCATTTTGGTTCCAAAGCCTGAAGTTGACGCTTCTCTATTATACCTCTCTAGCTCTGCTGGTAACTATGGGATAAATTCAGCGCTCGCCGTCTAGTTTGAGTCCAAGCTGAGAAATCCAAACAACAGCGACACCAGTTTGCGTTTGTTAAACTGCACTATGGCCACAAGACTATAATGAGAGTCTACACTTCAGCGAAGGTAATTAAACAAATTGAGACGAAATTTGTGTGTACACATGCACTTGTGTTGAGCAACAACACTTCGCACACGTGTGATTGGATAGCGCCATCTACGGGTCAAAATTTGGCCTGGATTCAGAGCCTTGCATCCATTTCGTTATCCTCAATCGACAGACTGAGAGTCTGCCGCCCCCAATGTATCATCTCTGAAATCCATAATGCTCACCATCCACCGTTGGTACGGCGTTCCATTTTTACATACACCAAATAAATTCGCATTCGTAGTCATGACAAACCCTCGTTTCACTGTAAGAGTAACGCCTTACAATCAGAGACCAAGGAAGTTATTTCTTGACAAGGCGGCAAAACAAACCAACGGAGCTAACGGACTTTGGCCGTGTAGCCGTATATCGGGAGCAACGCGACTGTTCTTGGTTGCCAAGTGCCAGGCATGTCAGGAAAGCGCACACACGCCAAGAAATCACGAAAATCAAACACAGTTAATTTGGTCGGCTTTTACGAAATCGCTAGTACATACTGCCATTGACAAGCAGAGCTGCATTTCAAGTTCTCTCTGAATTTCAAAGATTTAGTAATTGAAACAATAACCTTATCACCCAGATCCACCTCAATAGGAATGTCCATTATAGTTTCATCCAAGAAAAAGAAAACACTAAGAAATGTTATTCTCAGTTCTACAGTCATTTTTTTGCTATCATCAATCAATGTGCCGTTTCCATGGTGAGTGTATTTGTTCTGAAAGAGACGATAAACGGAACACGTTTGCTTGCACACTTGTGTCACGTTATTTTGTAATTGACAAGGGGGTAATTCACTTTTGGTAGAAAAAAATGAAAATAAAAAACACATGTATTATTGCGCTCACACAAGAACCTCACACAGCAATCGCTATGCACACACAGGTTATGATTTTACTGTCGATGAGCTTTCATCAAGTCAAAGCAGTTGAATGGACAGGCAGATTTTAACAGACTGCTCAGTGGCAAGCAATATGATTGCCCTTTTATACTTATCGCCCGAAAATCCCGATTTCTAATATAAATTGAACATAAACGGGCCATGAAACAACAATGAAAATCAAAATTAAGTTTTTGGCATACTGGATTTGCTGGTAAGAAAGCATACAACACATACACCAAGTTAGTTAAGCGAGCAGAAAAAAAATCCTGCCCAATCACCCCTGTTCAGGACTGCATAATTTGTCACTGTTTTTATACCGGTAGTCTTTGCTTTTTCCGGGGCAGTATCTACCTTGAGGCAAAACCGCCCCATTATCAGTTGAAAAGAGCCACGTTGGTCGCGAGTGTACATTTTGTTGTTGGCGACACGACCGTAACGTGTGCATTTCATAATCGTTTGTGAACCGGCGAAGTAGAGTTCCTCACAGAGGAGCCTCCGCTGCTAGGAAAATTGCGCCCTCTCTTGGTCCAGCTCGGGGCTCATACTTCCGACCAAAATGGACGAAGTTGTCTGTCCCTGTATCACCTAATGATCTCTATCGACCATAGAAGGTACTTTACTGGCTTAAAAGTCACCCGACAAAATGCTTTGAAACAATTTTTGTAAACAGAGCTGAATGAACTGCATCGATTTCTGTAAGCATTACTACATTATTCCACGTCAAACCTTGCACTGAAGCCTTGCCATGTACGACTAAAAATAACTCCTTATTAATAAAAGGACAGAAGCAAAAACGACAAACAAAACCAAAGCGACAAAACAAACAGGAACTTCGACTAGCATGTTTTCATGTAGTAAGTTGTGTACATACAAACCGTTCAGAGGAAAATCGCCGCACAGATTAATCAACCATTCATCATTTACGTGAGCGAACTACTCATAAATCTCTTCTTTTACGCGGCACTTTATTCAAATGCCATTCTGACTCTTGAGCAGTGATTGCTCCTCACCTCATTAGCCAGTCGCCCGTTGTATGATGCGCACGTCCGTCCGATTGTTTTTGCCCAGAGCGCTAGCAGTCCATTAGCCAGACATTGCATCCCGCCAAATCCCGCTCATCCTTATTATGTTAATTGGTGAGCGCGGAGGACCGTCGCCACAGCAACCGAGCGAAAGTATCTCCCGTTTACAGTCAGAGAGATTTTTCTTTCTTTTTATATTCTTTCTACCCCCCCCCCAGGAGGGTCCCAGTCAGTTGCGCATCCTATCTGGCGCACGATGCCTTCGGTCTGACGGACCGCGTACTGTGATATCACGGACCGGCAAGTTGTCGTCATTCGTGGCTCGTGGAGGTTTCATATCAAAAGGCAATATTGAACACATGAAGCATCCGAGCGGATTCTCTACAAGCACACAGAAAACTTGCAAAGTAGTTTTATGTCCATAGTATCATACTACAAACCTTGGCTTAACCAACAAGTACAACTCTCCTGTATACAGCAATTTTAAGTTCTCACTGCTATCCCGACGACGATGATTTGAGTAAACGGTTTGCAGATGGCCACAACCGGTATACTAAAAATTGTTCGGCACGATCTGACGCACGCGCACGACAGCCGACCGTATACAGGTAAGACATGCCCTTCTACATTTTGTTTGCCCTTAGAAATTTATTATTTCCAGTGGGAAAATACATTCATGTCAGATGTTTTGTTTGCTGTGCAGGCTATTCTGATGACGAACGACAGCTTTGTCGACGGAACTATAATAATCCAAGGGAAGTTACCAGAATGAAAATAGTATGAACAGGTTTCAACATTCACTCGTTTGTCTGCCTTTTTATTTGCTTTATAACGAAAGACAGCGACGATATTTTTTGAAACAAGCAGTTAAAGTGAGTATAAATAGTTGTCGTTCGACAAATCAAGTAAAATATTGACAAAGACGATAACGACTTGAACGGATGACGGACGTATCGAAATCCAACGCAAATGGTGACAAACAAAACTGGAGGGGCGCCATTTTTGTTACACAAACACAATCATCGAATTTTGTTCATTGGATATTTCGTATTCAAAACTATGTTGATTTTCGCAATACCTTTCCTTCTGTCTGCAAATCATCTTCTATAATGCTCGTCTATAGAAAACATGGCATGAAGATGAACTCATGCCGTCTTGTAATAAATAATTACCGACTTCGTCATTATTAAAAACCAAATTGCTTTACTCATACACTGAAAATCAGACCTTGCCACGACGCACACATAACTGATGAGGGTGAATACAATTTACAGACCTGTGGCCATTAGATAGCGGTTTCGAACATTATTCCCGAAATCTCCTCCTACAGCGGAGGACTCGACAGGGCCAGCCTACCAGGTTATTTTCTTCACATCCCCCATGGTTGAATCATAGCGTGACTATCCATTAGCGCTCATTAGCCATTGTTTGGACAGGTACGCGTGATTAATGGTAGCCTGTGCTGTATTGACTCCAGTTTTACGCGGTCCGAGTCACCGAGTGGGCTGACTTCGCACCCAAGTGTGTTTTCTTTAGAATAATTACGAGCTTTAGTGTAAAATTGGGAAGCCGGCTAAAACGGACGGCTCGCATCTGACGTCACTTCTTAGGGCCACATGTATCTCTGAAATATAAGCACGAGTGGACATGTACATTACAACTAGAACCGCTATGTAAAGCGAGATTTGAGGCTACATAAGTGTCCAATCCCTAAACGCCGATATGTATCTATGTGCTATTTACACCCTGTGCATCAGCACCCAAAGCTTTTTAGTATGCAAGCAAGTTTGCAAACTGACGGCAAAAAAGTGTTTACGAAATTGGTAAACGCATTTCTGTAGTGTACATTTTTGTCGCTGGATTAACGGCAACGAACACCCTTGAACTCAAGGGCCAGATAAATTTTTCTCAGATCAGTATACGAAGACCTGTATTTTAAATGCCTAAAAGCAGTTAGCATCGGGGGTGCGAAGTGGGCTTTTAGTGAAAACCTATCATATTTGAAGGGAAAGTATTCAGAACGCGTTTAAGTAGATTGGGTACTCTCGCAATAGTTGTTAGTATCTTACCCTGGTCCATCCAGGGATAGATCTTTTCACCAAACCGAGCACAACTGTAACTACTTGAAAGAGCTCCCCTAATTCCTTCAGCGACCCGTTAACAAATCACTGGCAGGAAAAGACAAGCGCCACTACGCTTCAAGAAAGCCTCACAAATTTATGTGACAAACAATTTTTGAAAACCCTCATATACAGAAAGCCCTGAAGATGAAAAACACTTAAGAGTCCGTTGGCGAACTGAGCTGTGACTAGAATAGAAGCCAGCCGTTTCCGTGGCAACATAATAAATTTAACCGTCTCGACCTTTGAGACGGTACATGGGATCTTAACTCAATTGGTTCTGGTCTACGCTGGGCGAGTCTTTGCAAATAAGAGAAATTATCTGTAGGAGCTAGATGCAGAGGAAAATGCAGCAAAGGACGCCCAGGCCCGACTGCCATTCAGTGCTGGGAATTAATTTGCGCAAGAAATCAGAATGTCCAAACTTAACATTTCACACACAATATCATGGGGCTGGGTTATTGAGAAGAAAAGCGGGAAGTTAAAGTCGGATCCTCGTTCAGATCAGCCTATGTGTTTGCTCCAAGAATGAGCAACACACCATGGTTTATGCACGGGGCTGATGAAATTCATGGGTTTCTAAAATGTACATTCACGAGCGCTGTGGCTCGAAAGCTTATCGTTAGAAGTGCATTTACATCGCGGATATATTTTATCATAATAGGAGCTGCGGGGCGCTGTTTGGGTTTTGATGAACTCCGTGGTCTTTACTGCATATTTACCCACTTCACGTTCAGTTTTAGAGTTTGGAGGAAAACTTTGGAGTCGTATACCCCGGGAAACGCGGGAAGACAGTAGAGTATATATTGAAGCCCCTACCTTAAGGGTTTGGGCTTATAGGATTCGAACCTGAGCGACAAAGGTAGAAGGAAAAGAAAAAAACACCTCTGCTCACAAAGTGATCTCCTTGCTATAGGCCTATCGTAGGAATTATGCGCGAACTGCATGAACATGTCTTGTACAGTTTCCGGATGTGTCCCACTGTACCAGGGGACATGCACACGTTTCTATCTTACCGCAGGCCAATTTAATTAAAGAGTTTGTTGGATCAGAATAGGACTGGAAGGTGTGGTGCATCATCAAAGAAACAATGGCAAACGGGCACAAGGACACCTTGAATCAAAGAGGCAAACTTGCTGAATTATGAATCCCCCGAGCACGCGACTTTCTCATTTTCAGAGGGGGAAATTCCGATCTGTCACCGGCTGAATCTAGCGACAAGACGATTAGACTGATGTAATTGCCTCCAACCGATCAGATTGACATTCCAATTCTGCTGGTGTTTTGTTTCTCCAGATTGTTCCACTTTTAGGAAGAAACTTCACACCCATCGAAACTGTCGCCGGAAAATATCTTAGCCGCTTTGTTTCATTGTTTTTCTTTGTTATTATTAAGGGGAAAATTAATCTCATAATAATTTTCCTGATCACTGCCTGCAAGAACGATCATACGGTATATACAGACGGCATGAAGCTCACATCTGATTTTCACCCAAACTCAAGAATCAAATTTGGTGATGGGAGCCTTGACATTTTGTTGCAGAAAGCACTCCGTGCATGATTCTCCCATTTGCAGCGCCAAACGGGAAATAATTCAATTTCACATATATCAGAAACAAAAAGCTAAAAGCAAATCACTCAAACCTCGCTGTTCAACTTACCTCAGTAATGGCCAAAAAGGAATCCTACTGCTCACAATCTGATGTCCGTTGATGCGTTTACGTTCCCTAAATAAAACGCGACACAAAATGCCTCGATCACAACAGGTACTCGCACGGTCTGACATGGCAAACATCTAACTAAAATAACGATTATTCCCCCAATGAAGTGGACAAAGACTATGTTTTCACATTTATTTACATGTATATGAGTAGATATCACAATTAAGTACCTGGTGGCTGCAGCAACAGAACATCTGCCAGGCAGGCAAGTCTTAAAAGTGCATGTGAAAACTGTTTAGCAAAGAACCATATATTTTCCTAAACTCATTTGCTGGCATCAGAGTGTTAACATGTCTAGATGCTACACATGTTAAGAGTAGTGATCGTTAGCGCTTAGCAACTGAGCACTGACGTTATAGGAACTTCACATTAAATGTTAAGCATCTAAACATGACAACGAAGTGATAGCATAATTGTTTTTACATGCTAGACATAGTTTTTAGAGTACATTTAATATTTTGAGTCCAGCTATACGTTAACTTTTCACTCAAGTCTACACCCAAATATAAACAGCTTTATCGATATGCATTAAGGGCAAATTACAAATTCCCAGCATTGTGTACTCACCTGTATATGAACTTAATTTTTTTTACTTTTTTTTGCAGTCCTAAACAGGCCTTCTCGGATTTGTTTTCAGAATAGGCCATGTAAGAACATTAGAATATTTTATTTTAAGGAATCCTACTGCTCACAATCTGAAGTCCGTTGATGCGTTTGTGTTCCTTAAATAAAACGCAACACAAAATGCCTTCAATGGCTAAAGTGTGCTTAGCCATCATCTGCTTGTGAACAAATGTACAAAATAAAAATAAAATGCAAATGAAAAATAACTTAGTAACCCATTTTCATTCATTTTTTTTCCGGCACGAATACCATACCGGTACACTCTAGATGGCCTCTGTGCATCCCGTGCGCATGTAGCAACAAGATGGCGACGCATGATGAGAAAAAAGATAAAAGAATGTGCTTCTCGGCAAAATTGAGTCCTGCGGGGATTTAAATTTCGCTCACCCACTTCAATTCAGAAAGGAGATACTGATTTCCCAGCGTGCGCAGCCATTTTGCAGAACAGGATGATTGCTGCAATGCAGTACAGTACGGTAGATAATATTTCTTTTGTCATTCGTTACAGTTACAATTGGGCTTGTAGCTTGAAAAAAAAATGAAATAAAACTGGGACATTATTTCACAATTTAAGACAACTGTAAATGAGAAAATGGGAGCTTTTTTGAAAATTGTGTTTTCTTTTTCAAATGGGAACTCTTTGAGTTCTTTGGAGGTGGCATATTCATCACGGAGAAAAAATCGGCGACCTGGAAAAATGTTTTTAAAAATGCCAAGGGGTGCGGAAGATTTTGTTCAAAAAACAATAAAATCTCAAGTCAAGTCATAAGTAATAATAACGACAACCACAACGACAATGATAACGACAAACACAACGACAATAATAATAATCAATGAAAAATATATGGTCGTGCATCACCATTGCCAGACAATTTTTTGCGATGGACTGTATAGGATGATGGATCTTTAATTAAGGTAATTTTGAATACAAAAGCCATTTACAAAGGAACGATAGATGGCGATTTCTTGCTTAAGCCCTGTACACTACCTCCGTTTCGGTTCCCTCAAAAATGACTTAATTGGACGTGCATCGACAGGTATACAATAAGCTGCGCTTGCAATTCTTACAGCCTGATAAACCAACGGCTCGCCAGCTCATGTCTCTGGCACGCATTATTCATTTCAAATTCAACGAAAAACCGATTGGAAGCCTTTGCCGAGACAAGGTCGAAGGACAGCTTGCTGTGTGCAGTAAAGCCTTGAAATTGCAATCCCGTCGCATTAGATTCTACGCAAATCCAATCGCATTGCCAGCCTCTTTCAGGGAAAAAAAAGATTAAGAGAGCAAACGCCAAGAGCAAGTCATTTAGAGCCTTGATAGGCAAAGTTAATGGGGTTTGGCGAAAGGGATCGCTGTCGACTTTTCACCGTGAGTGAACAAAAAAAAAAAAGACAAAAAAGTGTCCCTGTTTACTTCACGTTCCTGGATCGGTTTTACAGTGAGGAATAAACATAAAAATGGCATGTGGTTATTTAATTCAGACCAAGTCATTAAAGAATTCCCAAACTGGAGTTCCTCAAAAAATCGAGGTCATTAAACCATATCAAGATATCAGAACACATCAAGACGCTTCTTCGAAAACATCAACGCATATCGCACACAAAGTGTCACTGAGAATAATTAATGTTTCAAAGACGAGTGCCACGTATAAAGGCCGAAATAAACGCGTATAAAGGCCGAAATAAACAATTTTCAGACAGAGAAACATCGCTAATAGTATTGATTCCTTTCCCAATGTACCCCTCCATAGACAATTGAACAATCCCGATATAAGAAGATACTTCAGCAGGGTGTGTGAATACATAAGGTGATCTTTCAAATTAAGAGATCTTACCACACACAATACAAGTCTACATGTATTTTAACATGTTACTACCATTAACTTGGAGTACAAAGGGCTACTGGTCCATAATAATGATAAAAAACACTACAATATGACATATCTTTCACCACATATTGAGCAGTAAAAGAGTCGTTTGATGACAGCTTCCGTGGTTCATTATCCACAAATCATAGTATACCATCAGTACAACCAAACTGGCATATCGTTCCCCTGCTGCATGGTGGCATACCAGGGTGAGTTAACCATGGCTCAAGTATACCAATACATCGCTTAATTAGCCACGAGACGGATGGTGTACTCCAGGAAAGGGAAGCCGTGTACTGGGAGCCATCAGGTAAATCGAATTAAGAGCAGCATTGAGGCTCTTGCAACCAGCTGATCCTTCCCCTCCCCAATCACAGCGCCTCTGAACCTTATGGATACTGAAGGTCAGATTTAGTTCTGCTAAGTTGATTGTGTCTATTTCGAAAATGAAGTTTTCAATGTAGTAACGTGAGTAGGATGGGCCTTCGCCACCATTAAAAATAAAGAGAGAAAAAAGTACAATTTCAATTAACACTGTACAACCTACACAGATGGGTGGACACGAGGCTCACAGAAAATGCGTTCATGGAAAGGCGTCTTGATACTTTGCTGTTTAAAGTAGGCGTAGTTGTGTGAATAGCACTTTTCTCAGTAGATATTGATCTTACGACAAAGACAGAAAGAGCAAAACATCCTTGAAATTTGAAACACTGGAGTCAAATTTTTTGTAATGAAATTACCCTCTGCAAGAAAAGAAAACTGCACGATGGACGTATTAGTGCGAGGGGACGAAGGAACCGTTCCCCTTTATGCATTTTGGAAATGACGGGAATGAGGTCGTGTTTGCAAACGGCCATCAATTCGATCATGGATTGAACACAGGAGTCACGTAGGGCCCACTCGATACCGGAGCACAACGATATATTTTTTTGTTCCCTCCGATGCAATGCCAAGCTTCCCCGGGCTCAGCTCAATATGCGAGCAATGAGTCGTCATGTGTATCAGCCCGGCTACTTCCTGCTTGAAAATCGCGGATAGCGTTACCTTCGATACAAGCTTTTTTTAAGCCTGATGTGCAATTCATCGACAGGATTTTCTCAATAGCGAATACTTAAATACCATTTTCGTTTTTTTTTCTCGAAGAAGAACTTGACATTCTCAATTTTCCCCACCACAACAGTATCCTAAAACAAATATCAGAACCACTGTGATATGCATGGCTGCTTTTCGCGCAGCAATGAAATTCTACATCTGCTCGTCCAATTCGTCGACAAAGGAAGCCGAATGCGTCGAACAACTTTGCGCACGAGTGATGTCTTTTCAGACACTTTCCATTATTGATTAAAACACGCATAACATTATGATTACCAGCGATCTTTGTTAGAAGGCGATATCTGTAAATTGTATATTAATCATGAATGATATTCGTTTGCGTATTTACCTTGCAGGCTACCAGTCATTTGGGCTGGGAGTGAACGGCGCTCGATGTCAGGTTACACATCATGAAAACATTCGTAGTACTCAAGACAGTACTAAGGGTAAGGATAGATGTGGCAAAAGCAGACTGGCGTATGCGACAGGTGCTGTCAGATTATTTTGGTTTCTAATTTGTCAGGTATAAATTTAAAAAAAAATAATCACTTGCCCAGAAGCTTTTAAGCTCATTAAATTATGACTTCGAAGTGTAGGCCTTAATAGCATATTTCCAGATTTACCATTGACAGGTACTTAAATCAGCGGTGAAATTGGAGGAAAATGAAATATCAAAGAAATAATCACCAGAGGTTTAAGAGCCCCACAGTAGCACAAAGCGTAAGGTATACGTAAATTTGTGTTTGCCTTACATGTAACAGCAACCTTTAAGATACCCATTTCTTGTGCAAATTATCGACTTTTATTCGTAAAAACATAATAAACACAGGATTTTCCAGATTCTCAGAGAGAATGGTTGAAAAATTCTGAAATCAGGAAAATCCTGGTGAACAAAATCCTGAATTCAGGAAAAATCCTAACGAATCTCAGCCCTGCTAAATAAGGGTGTAGGCCTATGTTAAATCACTTTGGGTCTTGTGGTAGGCGTAAAACAATCGTAATGCACTTTATATAACGCCACACGCTGTCAAAAGAATCGCCAGTTCCCCCGTTATTTTAGATGATATCCACAACTATTCAGATTTCAATAACGAATACCTAAACACAACAAAATTGGGCAGATGCTGATTTTAAAGACCTGCACGGGGGAAGACGATTCATTTAGATTCATAGGCTGCATAATTGTATGTCTGCTGCATAATTGTGTGTCTTGTATATGCAAATCACCGACCTAATCGGCATTAGTCATACTAGTTTGTACAATGTACAGCCTTACACACTCGCCGTATTTAATCGCTATCACGGATTTGACGAAAGGCCGACAATAAAATAACGGGTATTATTGTTCCCAGTACCTGATGTGAAACACGTTCTCCGTATCACGTCCGATGTAAAATGCTAATGAAGTGCGCGTGTGACTTCCCGTCTCTTGGCAAAAGCAATCATCATCACGTCAGCTTTATCATTCCATCGTTTGTAATGATGCACACTACACATCATTATACGTTAACATTTTCCAACCGAAAATAGACAAATATTAATTTAACGAAGCTTAATTTACACATTATCAACACAAAACTGAGAATCTGATGAGACGGCGCTTTTTGTACCCGAATCTTTTGACAGAAGAGTGACTGATGATAGACTAAAATGACAAAAAGTCCACACGATGTACAGAAGGCTACAAGTATTATATTCAGACAGCATCTGAGGCTTGTTGGCTGTCTGTCATAAGGAAGATGAAACCCCTCTGAAATGAAAATATCGAAACTGATTTTCATCACTTCAGTTTTCCTGAAAATTACAGAATTCTCGAGAGAGAACACTGAGAAAGATGCACTGTCATAGGAAAACTTCAATACTGAGTATAAGTTCTCGTGTATCAGTAATAACGGACTCACGCTATCCAACAGCTCGGAAAATGGAACCATTCAGTCTGGACCAGCCTCTTCGGTGATATTAATCAAGGTACTCGACAGTTGGTTACAAAATACTGCAGCTTGCGAGAAGTACCATACGTCTTCAATCTGGACAAAACACAACTATTCCTAATAAAAGATTTACAATTTGGAAACATGATGCGAAGTGTTTCCATTGGGGTTGTAATATTCATGAACAGGGTATTCCGGCATGCATGAATATCATTAATGGGCTTTTTGCATTTGAAAATATCCACTTTCTTGGGAAGTGTACGGAAGTGAAGCAGAAGTTAGCAGAAATCCAGACAGTGTTAACTCACAACGCCTTCCGGCACTATTGAAGACTATCTCGCATTGTGAAGGTTAGATTCGTGGCCCCAAGTTTTCACTATCTGTTAAACTATGTCAACAAGCCCGGAGATGTTGAATGAGAAATTTGCTAAAAAGGCTAAAGTCTTAAATCTTAACTTATAATTTTCACTTTCAATAATCCGAGTGAATAGAGGACACGACGATTCACGGCAAAAAAAATTCGTTTAATGGACATTGCTTCATAATTATGTATGGACACAACTCGGAAATCAGTTCCACAAGATCAGAAAACAGGTGATAGATGAAACAGAATACAGACAAGAGAATAAAACCAAGCACTCATTCGATTACCTCACACGGACAACTTGCAGATTAAGCAGAAATTGCTAAAAAGTTTTAATGACACGAAACACCTATCGCGTTTTGCATACCTTCTGTGCCAATTTTAATCCCGTTTTGTTTGTAGGTGTAAATTTACATCCACGTTCAATCATGAACCTTCAACAATGATATTAGGCCCCTATTAATAAACACGGACAATATAGTATCCACAATTGGGTGGGGTCCACGGAAACTATGTACAAAATGCCATGGGAAGCCTTTGCAAAAAGTTACAGGACGTGTGCACGTAGGATTGGAAATATATGCGTTTAGTTTCGCTAAGGACAGGTATTCGATAAGACAACGTTTTACGCAGATTTCCTAGCTGCCGTCATACAGCAAGGACAAAGATGCTGTGTGGCATCTTCGAATGAAATTGTCTTACATTTATTTTTAACTTCGTTGCTCGCTTCTTCGGTGAAATGCACATAAGATAAAATGAAACTTCCAAGACTGTTCAAAGGTCTCACAAGGTCTTGCAGATAAAAAGGGTGTATGTATATGACAGCGCCAAGTGCGTCTTCCCTTTATTTTGTTTCTCTCCGTACAAATTGCGGCCTGTTTACTCAGTTGATGGTCGAAGGTTGAAAGAGGACTCGATTCCCGAAATACAATCCGATAAAATCCAAGAAAGCAGCTCAGATAATTAAGCATGTGCCTCCCGTAGGGGGAAAGAAACGTCTCTCGGACTGACGTTCCATATTAATTTCACTAACAGAGTAAAGAAAAATGTATTACAAGTAGAGAGTTACCAGTGTAATTACAACGATGGTCTTAATTATCTACCCATCAAAGTTAATAAAAACAGAATAATTCACGGGAAGGCTTCTTTGGCGTTCGTGTAAATAGGAACGGTGTTGGAAATTTATGTGCAAACTGTGCCCGGATCATCTCGTCAACGTTTTAAATTCTTCCTCTTTGTTTGAGAACGACTTTTTGTACGAAAGCAACTTCATCGATATGGAATATTTGACGCAAGTCTCTTTCCAGCCAAACGGATGACGATTTGAACGTCCTTCCAGCAACATTGCAATCGACTGACGTCAGATGATGACTACGGCACACACTAATGTCCGTGACATCAAATCATGCGGCTGATGCACTAGGATGAAATACCCAAGCAGATTATTGAATTGATGTCTGGAGACTAGACCATAATAAGACAAACTTTTATATTGCGGTAAAATTGTGAAATGACGTTGCTTGTTTTTTGTTTGTTTTCCTCTGAGACAGGATGCTGACATTTTGGAGGTAACAGGAGAAGAAAACTGAACAAATTAACAAGTAATGCCCTTACAATGGATACAAAATGTGCCTCTTCGGGAGTTGCAAACTCTTTTCTTCGTGATGCGAGGGTGACATTTGTGGTCATATTTGTGAGAGACGAACGTCTGGAAGCACATTTCATTTGAATCGCTGCAAATCATCCAGTGGCAAACACCGAAACGATTTGCCAATGACGTGTTGTCTTTCGTATAACTTTAATAACCACACAAAAAATATCTTCCACTTATTGAACGAATGACAGTGAAAAAATGATTTGAAATTCGAGTCAGATTCCCTCCTGATATCATTAATTTGACGATAAGTCTTAACAAAATGGATAAATTGATAAGGAAACATAAGTTAGGCTCCGCGGCCGCTGAGACCCTGGTAACAAATGAAGACCCAGTGGACCCTGCATCGGTACCTCTCCCACCAGACGACGATGAACTTGACGCGGCTGAGCAGGGTCAGGCTCCAGCCACGGGCTCCCAGTCCCGGCAGAGCAATCAATCACGGCGTAGTGTCCTGTCCCACCACGGCCGCAAATCCAACCCTAACCACAAGGCGCAGCACCTAGCCAACGAAGACCAGCCGCCGGCCGCCACAATGCTGACAGTGGCCACAAACGGCGACGGTGGCGGTGTCAACAGCGTCGACTGTGACGACCCAGACAGCACGGAGGAGAGCGACGTCGAGAAGCGGCGTAAGGAGTCAGCCATGGGCAAGATCGTGGGTACACTGCAGGTCATCAAAGGATGGGTGACACGAGGTGGCGAGGAACAGACCAAGAGAGCAGATTCGTTCCTGGAGCGACTAGCCATGGCAGGACCCCAAATGGAAGACAGATCTAGGGTGGGAACAGAGCTCGGAGATGGGTAAGTTACTACAACTTTAACCCGCAAAGTTCGACGGGGAAAAGGGATTGGTATAATGTGGGATTTATTTAGGGTGGGTAAAATTTGACCAATTTAAGAGGAAACAATAAACTGCTTGGAAGTAACCATAACTCCAATCGAGAAATCTTTAACTTTACAAAAGGAGTTCATGTTTTGAGCAACATTGAGCAAAACCTTGTGTAACAACAAATACGTATTTCACTTAATAACTCGCGATAATCTTGGATAAAGTTCAGGCAAACCTGACGGCAATAGTGCAAAGGCCAAAATCATCGATTCTGCCCAAGTAATCCAGAAAAAGGGCTTTCATTAACATGGTGTATACAAACTAGTCGGTTAAAAGGTCTATCGCCATGCAACTTACTTTTCTGTGTTCACCGTTTAAACTGAAAATAACACATTAACTCAACATTCCAACGAAAAACATACGTAGCTACGCACCTGTTGAAATGGTGTCCAATTTATTCCAACATTCTCCTCATTTCTGAGGAGGCCATTTTTTATCTTTTTCGTCGAAGCATTTTTAAAAAATTGTTAACTGTTAAATTAGATGGTATCAGACTAATTTTGTGAATTCCAACTTCAAGCCCCCATGTCTATTTTTGTCCAAATACAGCATAAAACACTAAAGTATGTACCAAAACAAGAATAATTCATCCGAGTGCAAAACAAATTTGACAAGAAATTTCATTTTATAATTGCATTAATGCTTTCAAGTTCCAAATCAAGAGTTAACCTAACTTTTAATTTCAATATGGCCGACTCATGAGGAAGGTCCACTTGACAGGTTTTCGATCTTCTACCTTGGGTGATTAAGGGCGACCACAGCAAACAAAACAAGACCAAAACAACAACAAAAGCCAAACCAACTAAACCGTACCAAAACCACGGCATTCGGACCTGATCTGTTGAAATCAAAATTACTGACTCGAATTTCAGTAGTGAATTGCATTTCCCCCCTGGTAATGTACATGTATTTATATGCATAGCTTCCTGGGCACCATACCTCATAAACATTGTTATATTGTCGGCACGCGTGCCCGTTGATTCAATTACAGAAAACCATGGACTCGTTCTCCCCTTCCCGGACATTTGGACTGTTGCTAAGGCTGGGGATATTATTTGCTCACGTCATTAATGGTCGCACGAGGAAATCTGTCTGGTAGTCGGGGCTGGGCGAGTTGCGGCGTGATAGCTATTGTTGTGGTGAGGGATGCTAGACCATGCTTTAAGCAGACTTGTTCGCACATAAAATCATCTCGCGTGAAACGAGAAGCCTTAAATCACTTCCCATGTATCAAACATAGCGGGAGCCTCACTAGTTAGAAACTGATTACTTTCGCCTATGCAAATTAAGAAAATATAACGAAAATTCCGTTGGTAACTCATCAATTTAAACATACCAAAATTAGCAAGTTTATTTACTTGAGTTTGTAATCGACAATTCTAAGTAGATAGACGTAATTAAATTCTCATCGTTGAGAAGTATGATTTTCCTTTCTTGAGCTTTTCCAAACAAAGACTGCATGATAAGAATAGAGACAAAAGCAAAACTATTCACCAAGATAATCGCTGCAACCACGTGGGTGCAGACTAACAGCAAGCGTATTTTGTGAAATGGTAAAGTTAACAAAAACTTCTAAGTTGTATCTAAAGCTCTACGGTGTAGATATGTCCACCACAAGAGTCTGGTGGAAAGCTCTAGTTCAGAGGCGTTTGCTGACAGACACGCCTTACACCTGCCAAACCTCTCAATTCATAGATGAACACAGTGCTGTATACAGTTAGAATATTATTTCTTTTTGTCACTATTTTTGAATGCCTGAATCTGAGACATGAGAATATTATCTCCCAACATTTTTTTTATATGGCATGGAAATGATCGAGGTATACATGTACTCACAAAGACACAGTGAAGACGGACGTCATACCATCCGCATCTTGGCCCAAACCAAGGACGTACTACAAGCCGAGCTCTGCCATGTTAAACACTCATCACCTGCCTCCTGCAGATGTCCCGGAACCACGCGGACAAACCAATTACTTGCCCATTACCACGCCGCCTGATGTACAGCTAGAAGTGATTTGCTATCGATTTCTGCATAATCCTTTTCGTTTGCTTCAATCCTTCAATATAACTGACCATGCATGCAAGGATCGAGTAAAACCCTGTACATAGTAACTTTTTCCAAAGGTTAACGGGTGGGTTCCAGAAATATCTCATCCTTTTATCTGAGTAGAATTTCAAAATTACATCACGTCTTAGATGATACTATCAAACGGGCCAACCCGACCGAAGTCACAAAAAGCAGGAAGTTTCACAGTGCTGCAAAAAAGCCATATCAACCAAGCACTATATACTGTACTACATTTATTTGCGCATCTATTCAAAAAAATACAATGTAAACAGGTGTGAATATGGAAAAATCGACAGAATTACAAAAGACCGAATCTTTATGCTGCTCATAGGAGGAACCTGAATTCATTTAATTCAATATTTAAAAACCAAATTCCTCAAGGCGCATATTATGCGAAATTATCATTTTACCACATGTGGGGTCATAAAAATGCGACTGTGAGCCCAAGTATAGGTACACTGATACGGAACTCTAAACGATCTTCCACCTTGTCATTAATTTCCCCCCAAGACGGAAACCGTAACCAAGGCAACGTGATTTCTAATACGGCCCGTACCCACTAGAGCTGCATCACTACCCTGCTATTGCACTGACACGATCCCCGTGTAATTTCCCTGTGTCCCCAGGCGATGTCGTTTGCGTGACGCGGCAAGGCCAGTTTTGTTTTTTTTTCGGAACCGGGGATATTGGGTTTGGAGGCCCGGCTGAGAATCGGGAAGCAAATCCATGTGCCGCCCATGACATGGCAAGTGAAGATGACAAGTTGAGCGTTCCTTACCACCCCGCAAACGCATACATGCAGTAATGTTTGCTCTCTGTCGTTCGAGAGGACCCAACCTATAACGCGAATACAAATCATATACTGAAGTTGAATGGGAACCAAAATGCAAAAATTAACTAAAAACAGTGTCCTTCCATATTCTGCACCTGTCTGCGAGCGTTTGTTTTTGACAATGCTCATTCCATCATAAATATGTTTTAACTGTCGTTTATTTTATTTTTTTAGAATTATGTTTTACCTCTACAATACTGAATTTCCTACTTTTTAAATTATTCCTTCACTATCAACCATACTACCTAGCAGGCAATATACTCAAGCGGAAATTTTGGGACACCACTGCGTGTTTAATGAAATTGATTTGTGGCCTGTCTGCTGTAACACCCGAAGTGTCCTTCCCATAAGAAAACAAAACGCAGGCCTTTGCCTGTACACCAGAGTGTTGTAATGGCGGATTCATAATGGTGATAATTTATAATGCCAGGCTCGCACGCGGGCTCATCACTCGCCGTCTATGCAACGAGGGAGTTTCAGGGAGCCCAAGTGGCTTCTGGCCGCAGCACCCATAAACATCGGGCGGGAGTTTGATGTGCATGTATGTCAAGGCTACCGCCCAAGGACTGCATCATTTTAGATTGAACTTACAAACCTAAATACAGTAGACCGAAACGATGGTCGAACTGTGTGTACTGTGAGAGTGGGGTGGCGCTGTGACTCGTGTCCAGACTCAAGTGTACCAAGATTTATCACAAACATGTCAATAATTTCTGCACCAGTCTCTTATTCAGGAGTGAATAAACATCATTGATGTTTGTAAGTATGTAATACTGAGAATGATTTTGACAATCTTTGACTGACACTTCATTTTCAACTGAACATCATTTTGGTCGTAAATCTTACCTTTTCCGAATGCAAATTTTTGAAAAGACTCAGATTCCAAATCTATGTTTGTACTGCCTCAGTGAAGGAAAACAATGGCAACGCATAAGGAGAGATGTAAAACACGGCAAATCGTTTATTCATGCATTTTCTTCGTTAGAAACCTAAAATGTTAAGCATTATTTTGGTAATGTTACTTCCTACTTCGAAATTACTGACATTTTTATTCCACGGCTCAACTCCCCAAAAACCTTTAATGCCCAAGCACTGGTCAAATTGGAGGTCCGTGCGTGCTCAGATGCTACTGAGTGCAAATCCGATTTCATTCACGCCGGACTGTGCTCTCGCAGTTGAGCACTCGGAAATCGATATTCTTCGGTACGTCGTACAGAAAGCCGCGCGCGTCTTCAGGCCAACTTAAGTTGGGCGCGTGAGGGGTATCGACGTTCTTCAGGAGATGACAAGGAATTATTCCAGTGACAAGAAGATTTTTCCGTCTGGCGAGGTTTTATTCCCTTTACACTAAATCTACTTTTCGTCGGGCTAGGCCAATGTGAGCGCAAAGTAATTGATTGTCAATGCAGACATGCAGGTGATACGCCTCATTCTCTGCACGAATAAGCAAATGCTGAAACTAACTTCTCAAACAATGCATGCGGTTTCAGTATACAATATCATTTCGACTTAAGCACTAAGTCAAGTAAATCGAAGATGTTCCTTGCTGGTTTGCACCAAGAGCCTCCAAAATTAAAAAAAAAGTAAGTGTAATATATATTACAGATATGCCAGCAACTATAAAACCGAGAAAAGGTAGAAAGTATTCCGACCACAAGAAAAACAAACCTACAATTTTAATTCTAAAAATAAATAAATAAATTGGAGCAGCTCCTTGGTAAAGCGTTGAAATTATCTTTTTAATTTGGTGAAATCTTTGGCAAGAGTTCGTCATGACCTCCTGAATTAAAAAAAAACTATGATTTATGAGGTCAGTGACTCAAACAATGACTGGATTGTGAATTTGTGAAGATAGAGAGTACACATTAGCGGAAATTTCTCATCTTGTCCAGGGTAACATTCTGGTGTGCCTCGGACATGGGCGTAAATCCCGGGGGATGGAGGGTTATATAGCGCCCCCCCCCACACACAGACTTTTTGGCGCTGGGCTATTGAATCAACCATTGTTTTTCCGAATGGAAAAAATTAAGGCGGATTGTGGAGAGTTTTTCAGACTTCCCACCAACCAAGCTATCTTAATTTGTTTTTATTTTAATCGGGAAGTGGTTCAATATGGACTGTACAGTTTTTTCCACAACCCCTGACAATACCAGATTTAAAAAAGAAATACCGGAACACTACACGTGTAGTTACCATAGACATAAAAACTGAACAAACGTGCGTGCCGCACTTTTGATACAATTAATTTCGACGACGACACAAAGGAAATATATTGCATACCTGTTCACGCGCAATGAAACTGAGTACATGTACATGTAATACAATTATCAGCAGTTATTGGCACTGACGTCTATGACAGCAGACAATGCAGCATTAGGCACTAGAAATCTCTGGAAACGACAAGAGCTTGTACGTCAGAGCAGTGCAATGGTAAGGACCGTCTCGCATTAGACAACGGCTCCTCTTCCAGCTCGGCTCTGATTCTTTATGCTTGTTCCGCATCGAATGTGCACTCTTCAGTGAGTACTGCCATTCAATGGCATCAGTCTAGAAGAAATAATAATGAAACTTCTGCAAGACATTTCACGTTTTTTTTTTTTTTGTTATGTAAGCAGAAGCTCTTACATTATGCACGAGCACAATGACAAACAGTGTACATAATAATCAGCACTGTATCTCACAAAGTGCCAAGGTGTGGCAACAGGTGAACAGCCGCATTTTGCCCAGTTTTACACGTTATAAGTCTTTGGAACACAATTGTTTAAAGCTGTTTTTTCTTATCTTTGTTACATTGCCATTATGGAAGCATGCAACCATAGTTTTTCGCCGAGTGTAGAAATCTTGGTCATAATGCACGGTGCATGCAATGCGTAATTTCACTGCATCACATACACGTGGCATCGGCTGATTCCAGTCACTCAAGAGAGCTGCACAAATTCAAAAGCCCGTAGACGGTATCAGAATCTCCAAATGGCTCCAATCGTCCATCTTTGTAGTTATGGGCATAAGAATGATAATGGCTTGACAGCCGAAAGAGGGCGCTCACCAAGCGAATCACCACAACTCTTCCATTACTATGACAACTCCAGCCTCAGCGTCACTTTTGACCGTCAGCAAATGGAAGCCTTGTACGAAAGCCCTTCAGTGCCGTCAAGCATTTCTAAAAAGTGAAGTATCTATATATTTTGAGGTTCGTCTTTATGAAGTGTATATTTTCAAAGTTCTTTTTCTTTTAATTATTTTTCTCGATTTCGTTTTTACGCGGAATATTTTTCCAAAGCTCGTTCGTTCGGGATGCACACTTTCGACTTCGTTCTTATGAGATTTTTCCAAAAATAGACACAATATTTCTAAAATAGATCTCATAAAAACGAACTGGAGAATACATGTCTCAAACAAACGAACTTTGGAAAAATAAATTTCAGAAAAATGGACACTGCAAAAAAAACATATACTTCAGTTGTTGGAAATATATACCTGGTGGCACTACATGGCTGTCGTACCCACGTGTTAGCGATGCATGCAGTCTTCACATGTGCACAGCTTCGTTACTGTTTACAAGGAACCATTTGGGGTTAATTTCTCTCACATTAAATTTAACAGCCAAATCGGTCAAGACCTTCTGATCGATTTTTAGTCAAAATAAAGCAACGATGATTCTTGTACATGGAATGCCGCAAAACCCTAGCTCATATCGACAGGTCATTTTATTTAAGGACCCATTTTGATAGGAACTAAACAACCCATGAGGTCTTATTACTCAGACGAAATCGACTACTTTATTTAGTTATTTGTTTTACACAATCAAATCTCAAACTTTTGTCTTAATGAAAACATATGCATCGATACAAGTGACACATGAGAACCAACCGTACGCCATCCCTTTAATTTGAGTCTGACTTCACTTCGTTTGAATAATTCACTAGGACGGGATAGAGGAAAAGATCTCATGCACGTATTTCCATAACGAGAGGATGGAGGCGTTTCATAAACCATTTGACAGACTAGGACGATTCGATACGAGTGTAATGTCTTATTGCCTCCAGACTTAAAACCTATTGAACAATTTCCTGTGTGGTTTGAATCTCTTCAAATAACACTTTCAGGGGAATTGGCGGTGAATAGAATAAGTTGTTATTTCAAACAGTAACAAAACAGAGGATCACAATGGACAAATGACGGTGGGAAGAGGGAAAAATTTGCCACTGTCAAAACCTGGCCAAATGTAATGCTACATCCAATGAAACCGCATTGACGTCAAAAGCTGAAGTACAAAATGACGTATGGGCTACAGAGAAAAATTCACAAAGCAATGATATTTTCATTACTTTAGTGCAGCAGTGATGAATCAAACTTTCAATTGCGCGATCGATCTTTTAAAAAATCTATGGTCTGGAAAGTACGCTGCAGCGCAAAATACGTATGCGTAGGAAACAGATTAAACAGATTAAATACCAAGAACTTTCGACACAAAGTAACAATGTTCCGTAAATTCGAAGTTGTTTTCATATTTCTGTCATGTTGCCCATTCTGTGTTCTTTCGTCTTTGCAGTGGCACTGAACGGCCGGCTCGTGTTCGGGTCATCGAACGGTCGGATGTTTTCTATTACCGCTGGTTGGCCATAATTGCGTTGGCTGTGCTTTACAATTGGTACATCATTATCGCCAGGATGTCCTTCACGCAACTGCAACTGCAATATACGGCGGTATGGCTGACGCTGGACTATGTTTGTGACATCGTGTACATCTTAGACATAGTTGTGCAGTTCAGAACGGGTAAGGCTCTTTTCACTTGAGCGTGAAGAAATTTATGCTACTCATTGCAGTTTTAGTACTGACAGTGTTTCTACAACCTTTCGTGAATATCCCATTAACTATGTTCATCGACTGCTAGAAATAGGTGGCTTGGTCAGTCTAAAGTCCATGTCCATAACATGAATAGAGCTGTACTTGATGCGCAAAAAGAAATCTTGGAGCTGGCCTGTGTGGGCCATCACAATGCTCGCCGAGCGCGTAAGTCCGTCCCACTACTGACCAGTTGCGAAGTTTCAGTCTAGCCTGTTGCAAAGACTGGCTCATACTGGCTGGCTCATACTGCCGACTTATTGCCATCAGTGTAGCTGCCGGGTGCCGTCTTTTTCCTTTTGCCATTACAGTTCTAAGCATGCGCGAGTTGTTCTGCGCATGTGCGCCTAGTTCTGAGCACGCGCAATACTGTAAAAAGGACCAGTATGTGTGCTGCCAACAGCGTCTCAAAGTCTTCCATCGTCGTAAACGCTGCCAGCCTGTCGCTGTATTGATCCATTGCCGCCAGTGTGTCGGCATGATGTTGGTTTCTGTGTCGGCCTATTGACATAAAAAACAATCACTATGTTCTTTTTATCATTTATTCAGGATATCTGGAACAGGGTCTTCTTGTGAGAGACCCTAAGAAGCTGCGAAAAAGCTACGTAAAATCTTGGATGTTTAAGTTGGATGTCTTGTCCATGCTTCCGTTGGATTTACTGTACATAGCATTCGGGGTTAACACACCGGCTCTCCGGGTGCCACGCCTTCTCCGTGGGGCCAGAGCCTTGGAGTTCTTTGACCGTACTGAGACAGTCACCAACTTCCCCAATATTTTCCGGGTCATCAATCTCATTCTGTACATATGGATCATCATTCACTGGAACGCCTGCATTTACTTCATCATATCTGTGAGCATCGGACTGGGCAGTGACAGGTGGGTGTACCCGGGGATGGAAACACCTGTAGACCTCTCAAATGATACCCTCCCACACCAGTACGTCTACAGTTTATACTGGTCCACGCTCACGCTTACTACCATTGGGGAGACGCCGCAGCCGGTCAAGGACATTGAGTACCTCTTCGTTGTCTTTGATTTCCTTGTAGGAGTGCTCATATTCGCTACGATTGTCGGCAATGTTGGTACCATGATAAGTAACATGAATGCCACCAAGGCCGAGTTCCAGCACAGCATGGACGGTGTCAAACAATACATGAACCTTCGTAAGGTCAGTAAAGAGCTTGAGGGTCGCGTCATTAAATGGTTTGACTACTTATGGTCCAACAAGAAAACACTGGATGAGGAAGCCATCCTGAATACGTTACCGGACAAACTAAGAGCCGAGATTGCTATTCACGTTCACCTCGAGACTCTCAAAAGGGTTGCAATTTTCTCAGACTGTGAACCAGGCCTGTTGGTGGAGCTGGTGCTGAAGCTCAAACCTCAGGTATTTAGTCCCGGCGACTATATTTGCCGCAAGGGTGACATTGGGCGGGAAATGTACATCGTCAAACAGGGGAAGCTCCAAGTCGTGGGAGAGGATGGCAAGGCCGTCTTCGCCACGCTCAGTGAGGGGAGCTATTTCGGGGAGATCAGTATCCTGAACGTTCCAGGCAGCTTATCCGGGAACCGGCGGACAGCCAATGTCCGCAGCGTGGGTTACTCGGACCTCTTCTGCCTGTACAAGGATGACCTTCTGGACGCCTTGAAGGAATACCCTGAAGCGAGAACCATCCTGGAGGAGAGAGGCCGAATGATCCTCATGAAGGATGGTCTGATCGACGAGGAGGCAGCAAAAAGGGGCACCAAGACTACCGAGCAAGCGGAGCAGGAGGAGAAACTGGAGAGACTGGAGGCCAACCTGAACCACCTGCAGACTCGCTTCTCCAGACTGCTGGCCGAATACAGCAACTCACAGATGAAGCTTAAGCAGAGGATCACCAGGTTAGAGAAGAAGATGAAAGGGATCAAGCGTGAGTCCGAAACAAGTGTTCTGCAACAAACTGACCCACCGCCGAGCCAGCCACGAGAGTTTTACCTTCAGTAAGCCACAGAAACTGTCGACTAGTCATTTTAAAATCACTTAGCGCACTTGAAGGTAGTTTTATACCACTATCATTCCACGTCCTTGCAAATGGTACATTTTCTAATAAATTTTGAAATAGCTTGGTGACAAAACGTGTCGTTTTCAAGGTATTTTCTACATAATTTTTTCTTCCACCTATTTTACCTCAGTGACCACAGATCCATCCCCGTCCTTACCCCAGAATACATTTACATTTTATAACTTGGGTAAACGTATAGTTAATGAGCTTTTCTTTGTACAACACGAACTAGTTATCAGCATGACTTGAAAACTAATGGGTCATTACGTACCCTTCATTGGGGGAAAATGTCCCGCGGAACCCTCCTAATAAATAAGTATAAATTGTATTTCAATTACGTCGGGGTTTAACTCTCCAAGAGCCGGGTTAGTTTGGCCCATCTCACTTCCAGGGAGGGGGAGGATTCTGTCCCCTTAAGAACTCGGCTGTGCCAGGCTCGATTTTTTTTTTAAACTTGGCATACATGTAAAGACACTCCTTGTTAATTATAATGTTCTTGTTGTTATGGTCATTGGAAGTTCAGGGCTTACATGCGAGCCGGCCTGCGTGCATTGAGCACCCTGTGGGGAAAAAAATACATTTGGGGGCTGACCCGTCTCGGAAAAATGCGCGCGGCGCCAGAACGGTAAGTTTGATTTTCACAAAATTGATGTCAAAATGACTGCAAAGAATTACTCTAAAACTTCTAAAAGGCTCAGCTCCTGAAAAAAAATGCACTGCCGCGATATCGAAACAAATGTCGGGGGGGGTGGATGCGGATCCCGCCCCAAACTATTTTGGGGTTAAAGCATGTGGTTGTTACAATGAACCACTTAACATCAGGAAAGGAAGACGACGCCAGATTTAGATACAATGCATTCAGTTTTATACTTAACATTATAATCTGTACTGTGTAACGATGTCACGTCTGCGACGATAACTGGGAAAAGCGCAAACACATATATTTTTATCAAAATATGTATAAATTAGTATGAAAGTACGTGAAGATAAGACTTCTGTATACACAATATGAGGAAAAAGTCAATATTTTTCACCAAGATATCGGATTACAGTCATGTATGGCGTAGAAAAGGAACACGCACGGGGAACAATCACCCGATGGCACTTACACCGTACATTGTCGAGAAGGACTAATCTTTGTAATGAAAATCACGCTCAGTTTACTCAAACTTTACAAGCCTCTTTATTCACAAGTAGATTTCAACGATGTTCTTTGTTGCTTCTGCAGGCAGGTGTCAGCATGAAGGACGTAACACTTTTGACAATGTGGCATGTTTTTGAGAACAAACCTTTTCGATGATCGCAATGCATTATGGGGTTCGGATGACAAGTAAGCCGTGCATTAATTTTTATGCATAAACCTATGGGGGAAGTGAACTAGTCAGAAATCAGTTAAGACTTTATTCGGAATATTTCTTTACTATCTGCTAATCAAGTCACAGAAATATCCATAAGAGTATTTTCCAAACATTTTTTTATTTGTAAGCAGAAAGAAAATCGTCTATAATTGTCTTTTTAAATGGGCGTCAGTCACATTAGCCTGAAATATGAACGTGATTGGTCAATGCGAGACTGCATGGGCTTGAAATCTAGATTGTTATTAGTCAATTCTAACTCATTAGTATTTATGATCTTAGTCCACGATAAAAACTGGTGTTCTCGAAAGAAATTTCCCGAATCTTTTTTCTGGTGAGCTCTACAATTCGCGGTTTGTAAATATATTTATCCCAAATCTACAATGCAACACTGGATGAAAAGGGCATGGCTTGAATTGGAGAATGACTGTAATAAAATGAAAACAGATCACTGTTTTGCTTGCTTGTCATCCAAACCCACAATGCATTGCGAACGTCGAAAAGGTTTATCATCAAATACAGCATATCCTGGCTTTGAAAGCCCTGTATTTTGTTTTCATAAAGTTCGTATACAGCACGTGTTATTTAGGGTATCTGAATTTAGCAATGATTTTAATGTATTGTGTTACCTATTTTGCTGTCGTATTCTGCTGTTCACGTAAGTGTGCGAGTTGTAATGCAGCTTAATTCAATAACAGTACAATTAATATATCTATGTCTTTAATAAACTAAATTATTTTACATAATTTCACAATCATTCCAGAAAGGTATAGACGTAACTGTGCTAATTAGATGGAATATATTTGTTTGTAAGGTATAATGATACAGAAAACGTTAGATTTAAGAGGGAAGCTGATTTGCCCGTCTCAAAATTCTGGCAAAGTAAATATGGCAAAAGCTTAAACGCAATAAACGTAAAGAGACAAGGACTGGCTCTGTAAAGTGTGAATTTAAGCAATGCCAATTTCCTTGACAAGTCGAAGAAAGGAGTCGAGATGTTGTTGCGTTGTAGATCAGTTGAGTGCTTATACAACAAAGTTGTTCCCCGTCACCGATGGCCATTACCGTAAGGGTATGAAAATCCCTTAGAACTTACATCAAGTACAAGTTTTTCAACTGTGTAGAGATTCATCAAGTTGGCAGATTTTTCGGCTAGGGGTGAACCAAAGACGCATAAGCACATTGCCGAATATACAGTTTGTAACATAATAACAGTTTGTGCGAATTACTTAAAGCATAAACATGCTGTCACGGTCGAATTTGGAAGTGGGGGCAGGGCCCCCCCAAAGGAGCTTTCCTTTTATAAATAATGAGAAAAGGCAAATTTTTTGGCCCGTTTCATTTTCCTCCGTCAAAAAGCGTGTAAAATGCTCCAAAGTGCAGCCTCATTCCTCAGAAAGGTAGTAAAGGGATGCACAAAAAAATGCAACATTTTTAGCGTCCCCCCCAAAAAAAATCTGGCCCTCCCGAAAACTCGGTTGTGGATTCGTCCTTGCATGCAGCTATTATGCATGGAAACGAGCTCTTTTAATTCGAAATTTGTAATCACCTCTGTCATTCTGCACGCACAAAACTGATTGTTTATCCCGAATCGAAAATCAACAAATCCTAATCGATGCGTAAATGAAATACCAAAGTAGCAGTCATCTATCTTAAATTGGCATCCGGTGCCGGGGGGTAACAATCGCTTTCATACGGCAACCTATTATTATTGTTCTTCCGTGATTCATTTTTTGGAGGAATAGGAATTATTGCAGAGCACTGTAACATTTAAACCAAGACTCTCTAAGTTGAACAGTAAAACAGAATATTTTGAAGTACATCTGTTAAAGTTGTTTTGTCAGATTAAAATGTATTGAATACAAATAAAACCTTGTCCGTAAAATATGGCGTTAGAAAGGTTATCGCCTTGGTCATTTGAAATCATTGTTGAACACTAAGTGTAGAATGACATGATGGGTGAACTGTAAATGGGCGACGATTTAAACGCGGTAAATAAGGTAGAGACGTCAAAGCGTCTAGTAAAATAGCACTGGGGTCATCCCTTGATCGAGGAATTAATTTATTGCGTTCATTGTTCTGAAAAAATCTGGGTATGAAAAAGTATGGAAAAGCTTCTTGAAACTGGACCAAAATGAGCGGGAAAGAAATCAAAACGTGCCTTTGCGTGCTGAACAATCTCGGGGTAGTCGTGTCAGATTTCTCGGCCACATGTATATTCCATAGGCCTATTTTCAGAGGAAATAAGGGAAAATAATGGCTCTTAGGACTAGGCTATACGCCGTGCTGTACTGCCATGCCAAACTTAAAGATATTGATTTCTTTAAGTTCGGCATGGCAATAGCGCGGCGTTTTGCGCCGATTTTGCTCGGCAAATTGCATTTGGCACGGCAAGCTCTTTAGCTCAACAGGGTACGACGCGCTATCAGTGCTCTGAATGGCAGTGGCATGACACTACTCCGTTTTAAGGTCGGCGTTTAGCACATCTGCCGTGCTATTGCCGTCACGGCAGTGGCACGGCGTCCAGTCTTAAGGCCTTACGATCTTATGGCTCCATAAGTTATGGGGGGAGGGCCAAAAGATATGACAAATTCTGCCACTATTACACATTTTGATAAACGTTCTTCTGTCAGTGACAGGACAGAGCTTTGGGATTGTATGGGGGAGTCAGGTCAAAAGAAATTTTTTTAAAGTATTTTAAGCAGGCTCGGAAAATGGTGTCAGAGGGGTGTAGTCCACTGTTAAACTCAGGCCCCATTGAAAACAGTGTAAAATCAGCATTGTTCGGGGCCCAATAATATGCGTACCAACATCCTTGAGGTGTCTGAAACACACGTTAAATTATTGTATGGTCCATAATCTTTCTCTTTCTTTTCAATTTCTGTGGGTTAACCGATTACATTTTGAGTTATTCCCTCAGAACAAAATTACACTCCAAAAGTGATATTTCCAAAGTCTGCTTGCAGTCATTTTTCAAGTGACAACCCTCAACTTTCTAGGGCACTTAGGACCATTTTTAACAGTATTTTTTAGCCATTCTGCTCTCAGATTAAAGCCCAAAGACCCAGGGAGTTGATTCTGGCAAAGATTTACACAATCTCACCATTTTGGGGGCCATACAATCTCCTTTTTCAAAAGATACTGTGAGGCACTTTTAACGCTAATGAGCTGGCCAGAAATTCTCGCTTGAATTAGTGGACTGCACCCAGAGAGCAGCTTCACGCAGCTTGATAACAGCGCGGCACCGACAGCGGTGCCAGAGCTCAGAGCCGCAGAGCGCCCTCAATTGTTGAACAACAAACCCGGAAGTTGCCGTACCTGGAGGAGAGTTGTTTTTTTCTCTCCTCCGGGTCTACAGTGCATGAACACGTTACAGCCGCACCAGGTGATTACCATTTATTTACAGTCGTGATTTTCAATCATTTTACCAAATTGATCTTGGGAACATTCAACTGCATTAGGGCCTACATGTAACGTTACGCCTATTAGTATTACACAGTAACTTAGGAAAGAGTTCCATAGACGGACAACACTAATTTTCCAGTTAGGGTATTCTGTAATTACTCCGTTGGGCCTTTAACGGCCGCCAGAAAGTGATGTCCTAGAACGTGAAATTTAGCTCAGAAAATGCGGCAGCATTTCCTTAGAAAACACTTTCCCAGGCTTGTGCACAGAGGCATCAAGTGTTGTCCGTATATACACTGTATGGAAATCTTTCCATGATAAATCTATTCGTAAAGATTTCTCAGCCAGCTTTTGATCAGCTAGAAATACATGCTATGAGGCCAGGCCTATGCTATGACTATGAGGCTGCCTTTTTCACATTTCATGTGCACAAGCTCAGGAGACTTAACAGAGCGGAACAAATTCATGACAACTGTGTTGCGTAATGTTCGGCGAATGGTTGCTCACGATTCTTATTGTTGTAGACAATTTTTTCCCCTTTAGCTTTGTTCACTTACTTACTTACACGGGGGCACTAAAATCAACATGGTGATGGAACGGGAAATTGGCTTGTGTGTCAACATGTTGACCGTCGGTTTGTATGGGGGGCCAACATATGCAGAAAACATGCCCTCGGTTGACAATAGCTTCTGCCTCAAAATACCAATTACCTTGAGTGAGGAACGTACACATACAACATTTGGTGGTAAGCTATACATGTACATGCATAGTTCATGTTATTGCCATGATATAGTAACTGCCTGAGATCGTTTAACGCTTTGAAATATTTTTCTTTTTTACTGACAAAGTGACTGATGTCAGCCGGTCAGACAGTTTGTCGACCACTGGTTGGCATAGATTAACACGGTGTTAACTTGTAGTAAAAGAAAAGAACAGTTTGTACATGTATTACAAACTAACCATTGCATGTCTCATTTTTCATCTCTGCCGGAGGTGAAAACTTTTCTATAAATAAGAGGTACAATGCAAACGTATGCATACAAATTCACTTTATGTACATGTACAGTGTACAGTTCATGCAGACCCATGAGTGCAGAGAGGGGCGCAGCTCCTCAGGGGGGGGGGAAGAGAAAGGGCAAAACACTCCTCAGTAGCAGACAAACCATTTTTGAATGTGTGAGCCCATTAATGAATCATACAGCGGTGAAGATACATTTTATATGTACCTTATAAGTTAGCATTATAATCGGGAAAATCTTGGCATGATGAGAAAGGGTATCGTGTTCTCCCTCCTTTGCTTCTCCTCTTTTGCTTCTCCTCTTGTCCACTTTTTTAGGGGGGGCAAAGGGATTGGTAATGCATATGGCTATTTGCCGGCTTATTATGCACCCAGCGCAAAAATGAGCTCGAATTTAATTTGCATCACTTGGCATTGGCGGCGAAATTTCACCTTGGTCGAAGTGCATTCAACTTTTTCGAATTTGCACTTGTCTTGTCAGGAGGTCACACATTCTCTATTCTGATGGCGCCAATTATTATGAACCATCTCAAAAGTGCACACTATTCAACTAGGATTTAAATCTTTGATCAGGTTTCTATAAGCCAAAATTAAGAGTACAGTGAAGCATAATTTAGTGTCAGGGACTTGCTGTGTCCGACTGTCTTCACGTAATGTGTGCATGTACATGACTGTATAGGTGTAGGCCTATTAGTTTTCCTAAAATTTGATGTTAAGTGATGATCCCAGCCTCCGTTCAACTTTGGTGTTTGGCAATTATTGACTTGTCTTTTACCTTCGACCCCGACTAATAAAACACAAGGATTCTTCACAAATCTACCATGGCAAAGGTAAACAGTGAACCTTTGAGCTTAAATAGAGCGTGATAGAGTTCTGTAATCTTCACCTACATGTATCTTCCATAGAATTCAGTCTTGGTCTATTTGCCGAGTCTGATTGGTGAAAAATAGCATTCTTTTGCTAATAGAATCAAAAAGGTCAGCAGTCAGTGGCTATCGGAGGAGTTTGTTTTGACAGATAAGCCACTCATTTTGCTAGAAATGATCGCAATTGTTGTGGCACATCATGTCAGCTCTGGAATTTGGATCCCATTGACGTCATTTCAACCTTGCACTTATACACGGTGCCTTCAGGTTTTGCTCCCTTCATAAGAGTTTCCCTTGGAACAGTTTAATGATTGGTAAACAGAATCATTTTGCACGTTGTAAATCCAGTCCAGGAAGACATCGGGCGCACCATCACAAGACTCCACGGGACTGTTTTCAAGGTCACATGTCAAACTTCAGACCAATCAGATTGGGACTTAATTGCTCTTTTTCTTTAGTTCTGCATGTGTTGGATTATTCAATGACAATTTCTAGATATCATGATTTAAAGTGTTAGTAACATGGTCCAGAAAGTCTGCCAAACCTGAGGGATGTATCGTTGTTTTATTTTTTGATTAGTTTTAATTTGATTCTTATTTCCCCCAATCCAGACATTTTCCAGCTTAGTTTACTGAATTTCTATTGCCACACATAACGTTCGTAAGTGGTTAGAGCCGTGTGAGAGCTGTAAAGCATGTAATACATGTAATATGGAGCCCGAAATCACACCGCTTGTTTTCATCGCACGTACAGAGCTAACCGTGGAGCGCACTTGTTTGCAGACTTTACATGTACAACACACTCTTTCAAGGGTGTTGAGTCTTGTTTATGTTCAAATTAACCAGTTCGGTATTCCAAAAAGAGTAAGGTCATTCTGGAACAAAGCATGAGTCTGCATAGAACCGCACTGATGGGCATGGCAGACACTGATTTCTATTTTAGATCAGTGATGGCAGACCTCGCATGCGTGTCCGAATGACCTTGCACGCACTTCATTTTGGGCATGCGCTGTTTGAATAGTCAACTGACTCATTCTGATGATGGCTCTTCAAAGTTACGTCGTGTATCCTGAAGAGTTCAGAACGCCAAACTGTGATGTCAGATCAAATATTTGTGCTGCAAATTTCAACTCAAGTGATTAGGCACGTGCCCCCATGAGCTTGTGCACATAAGGAACAATGTTTTCAACTACTGCTGAAATGCAAAGTGCTTTCCAAATTCCTGCACTTGCATTTTTTTTCCCTGTGGTGGTGGGAGGGTATACAAATGATCACATCCGAATTACAGGTTATAAAAACCGAAAGTACTTTTGGAAATATATATCAAATCCAAACCCAACGCTTCTACCAGGATTGCCATCACTGGCATCATAACAAATACATGTATGCCAATTTGATATGCACAAGAAGATTCCACCACATGTAGCAAGTTGCCAATATACATATACATGTACAACTTCGTGTACAGTAGACTGCCATACTACACGTATACCATACACTGTACATGTACATGTAGTTGGGCTGGCCTAACTATAGCACTTCAGTTAGCACTGTGCCAGCTATAACCAATATCATATTCAGGACGTAACTTTGACAATATTACATATACAGTAATGCGATATTAACAAAACAGATATGTGCCCGTAAGTGATAACAATGCCTCACATAAACTCAACTTCTCATGATTCTCTTCCAATACATTTGGTTGTTTTTATGCTCTGTAAATGTAATAAATGCCAGGCATCTCTTTGTGAAATACAAATGGAATGACTGCAGGTCAGATAGAAAAAAACAAACAAACAAATAAACAAACAAACCAAAAAGCAAATCAAGATTCTGAAATATAGATTTTGTCTACATTTTGGGAACATTTGCAAACAAATTTTAGAACTTCATTTTTAAACATCACATTCATTTTTATTTTCAGTCCACTGAGGTGGGAATGACATGGAATGAGAAATGATACATAAAATTTGAATCAAAAAGGATCGAGGCAAAATTCGGGCATTTAAACATTGTTTTGTGACAAACAACTGTTTCTAATTATGAAGAATATCTAATATTTTCCATCAATGCTCTCCTCTCTGTCCACTCTTTCATCTTGCCTTTTGAGGAGCCAGTGTCTGAGAATAAAGTGATGTAAGTGAATTTGTCAAATTTGCTTTCTGATGCACATCAAGAGAAAACAAATCTTGTCACAGGCTTTGACATGTTACGAAACACCTGTCTAGGTTGCCATAGTGATTTGACTTTCACCGTAATTAAAACGACTTGCATGTACATGCTTTACACGTTGGTGTGGCATTACAAAACCCAGGCTAATGTGCTGATAAAGAAAAAAAGAAACCAAAAAAATGTTTTATGCAACGATTGATGAGATGCAGTATATATAACATGAAGTTTTCACTTACATAGCTCATTTTGTCTAGCTTGCCCTCAGGAGTATACATGCTGTTCTGGCTGTGTTTCGTAACCACAGATAAAGCAAGATGCTCAGAGATACAACCATGGAGGAGGCTCAAGCAGTCATCAGCGATCGCATCCGAGCTGCCACTATCAAGAGAATTCAAAAATATGAGCAACTCAAAGGTACATCATTGTCTTTTTTAAATAATCTTGTGTGAATGCTTTTCTGTGGCTTTCATAATTAAAAAAAAACAGGAATAATTTGGTGGAAAACAACAGTTTGAAACTGTCTGCATTTTTGTGATCTTATTAGGTAAAGGAACTCTAGAAAGACTTTTATTTTGCTTTCATTCTAATGATTTGTTACAACAGTATTTGTTACAGTGCAGCCCATGAAGGACAGCCAAGTTCAACACATGGTCCTTCTCCATAGTCCGCATGGCCACTGAGTGAACTAAACCACTGAGAACTAAGACCCCTGATGAAATGCCAGAGACTCAGGGGCATTCTCGATGGTTTGACCCACATGTAGGCCATCAGCTGCCCTTGCTCATATATGTACATATACATAGATTGCCAGATTATTTACACATCTTGCAGTGGTTTCATGAGAAAATCCCACGGTGATTCTGGCCCGAAGGGTTAGAGTGCACCCTCTTTCCTTTATTATTCCCTTATTGTACGCTGCACATCAACCTTCATGTACATGCACACTCATCTAATCAGTTGATTATTTTTCATTGTTTCATTACAGGTAAAAAAGTTGGTGATTTTCCATTCTGGGACATTGTCGTGATTAGTTCCATGGACACATCTCAGAAGCTGGCCTATGAACTGCAGCTGCAGGAGAAATTGGACAATGAGGAACTACCCCTGGGTGTGGACTATTATGTCATTGCTGACCCTGGCACAGAAAAGATTGGCAAGTTTTCAGTCGATACATGGGAACATAGATAAATTACTTGCTTTGTCATCCTCGGGGTCAGGGCGCTGGTCTTGTGTTAACCTGTTACCTTGGTGTTTTATTTGTGACAGAAAATACGCAATAAGAAGAAACAACTGAAATCCAAACAGACAAACTGAATAGTTAACCGGAAACCCGCTGATCTTCATTACTTTCTTGAACTGTTATTTAAGAGAATACATGCACAATGACCTACTCTTCTCTGATAACCGAGTAAACTTGTTTGACAGACACTGTATTTGTATGACTTCCTGTACGACAGCAAAGGCACATACCACAAGTATTGACAAAGTGGTTATAGGCAAACTTAAAAAGATCGTACTATTTTCACAATTATGAACTATTTTTGCTGTCTGTATCCACAGGTGGTGGTGGATCTATGATGGCCAGTCTGCAGTGTCTCAGAGAGACCTATCAGAAGGATCTTGAGACAAAGAAAGTCCTGATTATGCCAGCTGGGGGTTACAGCCAGCGCCTCCCTAATGCCAGTCTCCTGGGCAAGATGTTCCTCAGCATTCCCCTTGGTGACCCCTTCTACACGATGTTTGACCTCAAGTTAGCGCTGTCCATTGACTTCCCGGCAAAGATGTCAGCAGGAGTATTCCTGGGGGTGTCTGACTGTATTGAGTTGTATGTCGATGAAGACTCCCCCAATTGGTCCTTCGATGAGCGAGGGGTGACAGCTCTGGGGCATCCCTCACCTATCAGCATTGGCACTGGGCATGGGGTGTTCGTTGTCCCCACAAGGCAGGCCAACTCCCCCTCAGTGGAGGTTGTGGCTGTGGAGGAGTTCCTGCACAAGCCAACTGTGGAAATCATGCAGGAAAAGGGAGCTGTCTTGGGCAATGATTTTTGCTCTGGCATCGGCTCAGAGGAAAAGATGGTCCTGACTGACAGCTGCTACTACATGGATTTCACCACTGCGATGAAGTTACTGGAGTTGTACAATGATGAGTCACCACTGCGTTGTGAGATTGATTGCCATGGGGATTTCCTGCAGCCCCTGGGCCTACGTGCCACTTCAGAGTACATTAAAAACACCTCCAATGTCACCAAGGTCACTGACAGCCTGATGAGTATGCGGCAGAAGGTCTTCGATGTTCTCAAAGGGACGCCTCTCAGTGTCGCTGTCATGCAACACTCTCGTTTCTACCACTTGGGCACCATCAATGAATATTTGGATCACATGTGCAACCTGACGCCTCTCGCAAAAGAGCTGGGTCTTGGCACTCACATGTACAAGCCAGACGGCCCCGATGATGGCACATGTACTTCAGGCACATCACGTATTCAGGCTTCGGGAAAATGCACAGCATCAGCATGTGTCATGAATTCCATCTGCCCAAAAGGGTTCCAGGTTGAAGAAAGGAGCTTGGTTGAGTACTGTGATTTCCAGATGCCAGTGAGTATACACAGCAACAGCATTGTGAGTAGTTGCTGTGTGGGGAGCACGCCAGACCAAAAGCTAGTCACTGTCCCCAAGGACACCTTTCTTCACACAGCTTGTATCTCTGATGGCAAGGCCAAAAGGCAGTTTGTCACCGTTGCCTTTGGAACCCAGGACAATCTGAAGAAAGAGGCCAGCATTGAAGAGCTGTCCATGTTCGGCAAGCCGTTCAAAGACATCTGTGGGACAGATCTGGATATGGCCAGCAAGTGTCTCTTCCCAGATGGGACCACTCAGAGCTTGTGGCATGCTAAGCTGTTTCGGCCAGCTGACAAGATGGAAGACTCCTTCTCCTCTACCATGAGTCTCATGGAGAGAGTGCTGAGCGAATCACCATTGCAACCCTCTCTGAGTGAATGGGAGGGCTGTCTCTCTATGGCTGACCTCATCCAGTCTAAGGACATTTTCAAGATGCTTGAATTCAGGCGGGAGTTGAGAAAAAAAATGCAGCTGAGTACTAACAACTGAACAAAAGAGATTCAGAGCTGAAAGGTTTATTTGGTAAATACACTTCCAGCAATTTACTACCGGAAAATACTGTTAGTTGAATTTGGTAAGCCAAGCCTTAAATTTTAACAATTAAATATAACAGGGTGTCATATTTTGTTCTCATTTAAAAGTTTGTCCTGCAGTGTAACTGGAATTAATTTGGTCAAAATAGTTATGTAAAAAGACATGAATAATATGTATAAATTGGACTAGTTAAATATACATATTTGGATGTTATGAATATTGTCAGTCTTCTTATCCTTTTAAAATCTTTGCTGATATTTACTGGCTTATTATAAAACTTAATCCTGCCTTTGTAAGAAAACACTTTGTTAATGTGTGTGGAGTGGGACTCCACTTGCAGTATTCCCGTACATGTACTTTCATTTTTGTTCTTTTGTGCACTTGATGTTTTCAATGTAAACCGCTCTGTGTGATTTCACTATGTTTGATTATATTGCAATGGGCACACCCACCGTGCTCGTATTGAATGACACAGACACCGAGTTGCAAGTGGTTACTCCAGCACAGCCCTTTCGCAGAAAAAGGGGGAGCTCTCTTTGGGAGTTTTTTGTTCTGTTTGTTGCTCGGTGATTGTCATGGAAGTACAGAAATGCAAGTTCCTAAATGCCAAGTTGGACTCTGTAATCACATCAGCAAGGAGCCTTTCTGAATCCCCTTGAATCCTCCACTCTGTAGGAAACCAACTTTTGAATAGATTAGTTCGGTCAGAGGATAATTGTGCATATTCTGAGAACCTTCCATCCCTGAACACATTTTTGTTTGTCGTTGCAACGGGTCTGATCTTGGGTGTAGTGGTGTACATTATTAATAATATTAATAAGGTATTCATTAATGGGCTTTCAATGGCAATTTAAACATTACGATTCACATTAATAACGGGAGACTGTATTGTCAACTGTTTACATATTTTGAATGTAATAAATTTAGTTTTGATGTGAGAAGATAATATGACTCACAGATGTTTGTATCTTTATTAATTCTTGAGATCTTGTGCAGTCTTTTTCAGAACATAATATTTATAGGGTGGGTGCAATACAGCAGGTAAGGCATTATGGGACTAATTCCCAAATAGAGAAGAAACATGAACATGCTAGGGAGGCTTGATGTTTACTTTAGGGGAAATTTCCTAATTAAAATCAAATTACCCCAGGTGAAATTATGACCAAAAAGAACAAGGGGGAAATATAACCCTTATAAAAAAAGGGATACTGCCAGATGTGCCCCTCTACAATATCAGTCCAATGTGTCAAACTGAAGAAAATGAAACAAAGTTGCCAAAAAATTACAACTTAAAACACAGAGAACTTCGACCCATATCAGTGCATAAACCGTGAAGGCAACATGCATTCATCCAGCTAACAGATAACTACACACACACACAGCATCCAGCAATGAAATGTTACCCCCTTCACTTTGTATAGGGCGCCCTCTGAAGACTTTTCTCTTTTCCCCACTCCTCATTGGTGAGCTGAACTGCGAACTGATGCCCGCCGTTTGCCAAGACAAAATTTCACAGTTTGAACACGCTCCCCTGGCCAACTTTGTCTAGTTATCTTTACATCAAACAGACAGACATGTATCCATCAAACTTGACGTTCATAAATCTCCTTGTCAGGATAGTTATTCACGGAAAAACAGAAACGCACTAAAAGTAAATGTGTCGCAGGCTCATGGGAGATCAGTACATGCATGTACATGTACTGCAGTAATTACACTCACACACAAATCTAGTTTTACAAAAAGCGAATAAATGAAAAGGAAGCAACAAGAATAAAAGAAAAAAGCTTAAGAAATAAAAAAAAATTATTCAAACACTAAAATAAATGAAAGAAAAACTAAAATATAACAGACCGGTGCACGCCCCCGTATACACGTATTATTCCTGGAAGCAGCAGGTCAGCGGGCAAATGGTATGGTATAAGAAAACATTTGAATATGTACGTGGGCGGAAAATGGGTCCAAAGTGCATGGGAGCGACAGTCGTATCATGTCAAGGTGTATTCCTCTAGGAAGGATTACTACATTGACTATGAATAAAAGATACTGGTATATAATCCTTGTCAAATATGGCCATTTTTACATCCCTCAAAATTGACTGACGACAAAAAGTTGGTAAATTACCGTACATTCAGAATACGGGCGTTTCACAATAGTGCGCCTCCAAGAGCTCGCAACGCGTTGGCCAATCACAATGTGCGAAATCTGTCGACCCAATGTGCGATTGGACAGGGTCGACAGATTTCCCTAGTTGTGATTGGCCAATGCGTTGCAAACTCTTAGAGGTGCACTATTGTGAAACGCCCGTATTAGCGCTTATTCTGCTGCCGACCGTCGGGGAGCTCAGTGGGCCACAAAACCGTGACTTCCGTCACTGCAGAGTAGTTACGGTTCGCACAATCGTTTTATATGAACTTGTTTACCAGGGAGAAAAAAAAGCGCGATATGGCGATAAACAAGGGTGTTTAGAAACCTGAGGTATTTTTAACTATGCCACGCTGTGACAAGTTCTGGACAATCAGCGGTCCCACTGACACTACGGATTTCGCGCCATTGTTACTGTTGAAAAGTCGGAATCTTGAATACTGTGCAGGTTTTCGCCTTTCGCAGGATATCGGCCGTCTCTGTAAAAGGCATATATATATATGGGTCCTTATTGAAGAGCAGTAATGATTCTCGGATCTTCAAAAGTAACCAGATCAAAAGTAAAAGTAGGGGTGTTTCTTCTCCATGTCTAGCATTTTAGAAGTTTGGCAACATATTCGTACACTCTTTACTAGTACTACGCCTTTGCTACAAACCCTACTCCATGGTTTAAAGACGTCTCTCAACGGAGAAACAGTTCGCCATCCATACTGCAGAAACTCGGTGTGACAATTATTTGTATATTACTCGTTGACAGATCAGGTGGGCTGTTGACGAAATAAGTAAATAAGAAGTAAAATGCATCCTGTTAAACGACATTTCTGCATTTTTAGCATTTAGAAAAAATCGTTGGACTGGAAATGAGCAGTATTCAGGTGATGCGTTGCGTTTCCGCCGTAATGATAGAGTAAAGGCGCCTTCCTGTATGCACGTCAACACTTGGGCCAAGCGTTGCGTATCCACGGGAGTGATTTTGACGGGCCAACGCTGTACACGTGTGTCATGTAATGGAGTCGACTTTTGTGTTCGTGAAAGTGAAACGCATGGGCGCGTCGTATACGCAACGTACCCAAAAAAACGTACGTGCACGTCGAGGTTGGAGTTGAGGTTGGTGCTAAGGCCGCGTGACTTTACCAACTCTTGCCTGCAACTCTAATTTTTGTTTGCCTTCTGTCTTGTATAAAATTTCGACGTCATAATGGAACTTGGAGTCTTAAGTCTGTCACTCTCCGTGCGTATGGGATACAGCGGTCGTTCATGAACGGTGCATTTATGGCGAATAGATAATTTTGTAGTGAACAACAACATAATAACAACAACATAATTTTTGTCCGGCGAAATTTTTGCAAAGAAAACAGATGGACGAGTCTATAACACGCACGGCTAGACTAGTAGCGGTATGGGTCGGCTTTGTCGCAAATAATTTCACGTACGCACTAACACACGTCCCCAACCACATTGTTTTGTATACTATGGCACACACATAAACAGAACAAAAAAAAAGTTTCAAAAATAGACTTAGTTTTTTAAAAATCTGATAAATAATTGAAAGATGAAGACCTGGGATTTTTTGTATGAGACCTTTTCGGTAAAACATTTATCTTTAATTTTCTTGTTGATCCAGTATTTTTGTTGATACTGGATTGCATGCATACAACAACGAAATACAGGAACATATATATTCCCTTCCAGAGATACTCATAAACGTACCGTTTTTTTGGTATGTTTCATAGTTCAAGTACCATAAGCCAGAAATTTCAACGAATTTTGGCAACTGCAAGTGTTCCACAATCATGATATCGAATGGTATCATGATCATACATGAGCCTATAATGGTATAGAGGGAGTTCACTGCACCTTTTTTTCTCAATGGTTCCTTGCCATGTTAAAGGAGTTACCGAGTACGAGATGCAAGAGGTAAACTTTTCCGAGCACTGCTCCGTACTCCTGTACGTTTCTTGCTCTATCGCCATCCCTGTGGCCGCTTTAGTCAACATCTACGCATAAAATCTCAATATTCAGACTTGGGAAAATTTTACCCTCTCGGAGTTTTGTGAATTTGTAAGAGCCGAGTCTAATTTCCTACAATTTGCCGTAAACACTGGCACTTGCCATTAAAATCAAAGCAAACGGAAAATCCTCATCAGGGTACATTAACAAAATTGCAAAAGTGAAATTTTCGCATTAAAACCATACAAAAGTCAAATTTTGAAGGTTGCCTTGCACGTGGATTGACATTTTATGCTGGTTTAATATTTTTTGTCCAGTCAAGCCCTTTACTTCAGCATCCGACAAAACGTTTGAGGCAATGACTTGTATGAAAGCCTACTGCTGTGACAATCTGTAGCCCAGACGAATTCGGTGGCAATTGAAATATCAGTGCAGAAAGGTCTGTGAACGTTTCGCAGAAACTGCTTTATCTCACAGAAGAATAGCGGGATTATCACGTGACACGTCAGGAATGCTTGTCATTTTGGATATTTCCCAGTCCATTATTTGTTAGGTGACCGCCGTCTCAGTTACGTCTGCGAATTGCAAACACTTTATGAAGAGTCAAGGTTACAGACTGCTGGGGAGGAAAACAATACTCAAAGCTCTTGTAAAAAAGAAAGTGCTAAAAGGGTATTCGTGGAAGGATACAACGGAGCCTACGCTCGTGTTGAGCGATTGCCCCCGAGCGCAGAGCACAACGCCCAACGATAATTAGGCCTATAGCTGAAACTTTTGTGATTTGCTCCAAGAGAATTTCACAGATTATATGACAGGGAATGACACGCAGCAAACGGTTTTCATTATCTGGACTTTTAGTGTTCTTGTTTTGCAGTTTTGTTTTACATGAATATGTCTATTAAATTATACACAGAGTGTGTGAGAAATGTTGTTGTTTTTTGTTTTGTTTGGGTTTTTTTTATGGGAGGGGGGCCACTGACTCGCCTCCCATCGAAACCCACTGTGTCATTTTAAGACGTTATGAAATCGAGATATTATTTTCGAAACACAAGATCTTTAGACCAGCACCACCATGATGACGATAAGGGAAACTTCGTTTGCACCTATATGTCTTCATCAATCACCCACCCCTGATGATTTCAAGATGATGCCGCCGACCAAATAAGCACTTTATTGAGGGGACTTTCTCTGACGGGTTACTTAGGAGACGTATATGCATGTACGTCAACACGGTGTACACCTAAAACATCAGAGGAAGTCATGCAACAACCCCGTTATGACTGACTACATGAATGATGTGCAAAACCATTCGTAATGTTAGCAATGCAGGTTACTTGGATCATTCTACTCCTCTATTCGGTTAATATCTTGAAACTGACCGATCTTTATCGTCTCCGCCTGTGCGTATTTATGTTTAAATATATTCACAAAATGCTCCCACAAGTGTTTCATGATCTTTGTTCATTTAGAGCCTCTGTTCATTCATCAGTACGGGGCACGTGGTTCATTAAGAGGTGATCTTTCTGTGAGACAAAACAGAACATCGTTTTTCAGAAATAGTCCATTTCAATGTGGTGTTAGATATTCGAATAAACTTGATGTTAAACTTAAAGAGTGTAATACTGTGGTTTCCTTTGCAAAAAAAAAAGAAGAAAACAATAATTACATTTTCTTCTGAGATTGAAATGTAATCGTTCTATAAGCTATTGGGTCTCGTTTCTTGTCTTGAGTCTTGTCTTGTTTAAGGGAAAGGAGCAAAAGCGTTGCTTCACCATTTTCCTTCGTGTTGGCATCATTTATTTGTTTATTTATTTACGGAGTCGAGGTTGGTGCAAGGCCATCAGCAACCTC